CCAAGGAGATGAAAGCTTAATTGGAGTGGGTTCAAAAGAGGACAGGAGGATTGGAGGCAGCAGGTGTAAACAACTCTTTTGAGAGTTTTCCTGTAAAGGGGAACAGGAAATAGGGTGGAAACTAGAGATGGATATGGGATTCAGAAAGGGCGTCTGTGTCTTTGTGTGTGTGGCTGTGAAGATAGATCATGTGACATGTTTTTGTAAGCTGATGGGAATGATCTGGTAGAGAGAGAGGGAGGAATTGCTGCATGAGAGAAAGGGGGCATTTGCTAGGTCCACGACCCTGTGAGTTGAGGGGGATGACAATCAGTGCGCAAGCAGAGGGGAGACAGTATGCTCTCAGTAAAGGAGAGAAGGCAGAGTGTAAGAGTGCAGACCCGCAGGTGCGCTGGTCTGTGTGCTGGTGGGAGTCTGATTGCTTCTGTTTTTTCAGTGAAGTAGGAAGCAAGGTCAACTCTGAGAATGAGAATGGAACATTGTGTGCTTTGCATATCTGTGACGCTGAACCAAGAGTTTAAAGCAGAAACACTCCCACAGGGAAGGGTAGTCACTGCCAGTGCTTTTAAAAAACATACACACCTCTGGGCTCCACCCCTTGAATTTCTGACTCATTTGGTCTAGGATGAGACCTGGCTTCAGTAATTTTAAAGCCTTAGAGGTGATTCTCATGTATACTCTGGTCGAAAACCACCAGCACAGTTTATCTCATTTAGTCCTCATAGCAACCATCTGGGGTAGCTGTTGTACCATTTTACGGTGAGCCCAAGTCAAATGGCTAGGACGTGATGGAGCCAAGTGTGTTTATCTCACAGCCCTGGCTGAGGAACAAGACAAAGAGAACCTTGGAGAATCTAACATATGACCTGATCCTGGCAGAGGCCTGTACACTGACGATCTGTTCATACTCAGATTCATTTGTTTACTCAACATACAAGAGTTGAGTGTTTGTTAATGTGACAGGTACTATGCTAGGTGCTGTGAGAAGAATTTGACAAGGGCCTCGTCCTTATGGAGCTGATAGTTGATGATTTGGTTCTGGCTCTAGAAAGCAGATCCATCCTTGGCTCTATTCAGGGATTGATACTTGTATTAAGGATTTTCTTCTCTTCTCTTCCTCTCACTCCCCCACAGAACTTGCATTCTTTCCTGGACGATGGCCTTTAAAACAGCCTTGCCTTGTTAAAAAGTTCAGAAGCTTTCGGTGGTGGTGCCTGCAGTTCCTAGATCGCAACTGAGACCCTTTGGTCTCAACTGAGATCCTCCCCAGTGTTAGCTATGTGGAGATTGCCTCTCAGTCTCTTTCCCATATCTGAAGTCCTGTCCATTTCCTCCTCAATCCTGAGTTCCTGGCATCCACATTCTGTCTTGAGTATGAATCTGCCAGGGGCGCAGCCCCTGCTCTTTCAGGTGAAGAGTGAACCAGGAGGCATTCCAAGTTGACCTCACATCTCCCACATCCCCACCTCAGTGCTCTGCTCTGTTCTCCCCCTGCGGGCAGGGTCTCAGCTATCTTGATGCCGAGCCTTCACTCCTGCCCTCAGGACTGCTGCTTCTGCCCGGGCTCTAGGCTAACACTTGCCTTCTGCTGCTGTGTCCACATGTTTGTCACAGTAGAGAATTCACTCAAAAGATTTCTGAACTGGGCCTGTGCCCTCCGTGATTTTGTGAAGCCAGAGTATCTTTTGCCATGTGTTTTTCCCTTGGAAGCTTCCCTTTTTTCAGCTTTTTTCCTTCTGGCTTGTCAGTGCCCTTCTGATGGTGGCACAAACGTCCCTTTCCATCACTCCTTTTTTGAACTCTGTGGCAGCAGGATGGGCCTCCTGCTGTGTCCCTGGCCCATTCTAAGCTAGTTCAGGCGCATTTGAAGCCTTTAACCTACCTCTGAAGTTGGTCCCGTTCCTTCTCTGCTCCTTGTCAGGCTGCATTTTTATGGAATCTAGGTGTCTTCTACCATTTTTCCTGTAGTATCTGCCTTGATGACTAAATCAAAATTGTTTTCAGTTTATCTCATTGCTCCCTAAGTGTCTGATATTCTGGAAAGCCTAAGCAGTGGATTTCTTTTTTTTTTTGCAGGAAAAAATTCTCCCTGAGCTGACATCTGTTGCCAATCTTCTCTTTTTTTTCTTCCCCTTCCCAAAGCCCCAGTGCATAGTTATATACTCTAGTTGTAAGTCCTACTGGTTCTCCTGTGTGAGCCGCCGCCACAGCTTGGCACCTGACAGATGGGTAGTGTGGTTCCCTGACCGGGAAGCGAACCCCGGGCTGCCAAAGTGGTGAGAGTGCTGAACTTTAACCACTAGGCCATCAGGGCTGGCTCAGCAGTGGATTTCTTAACTAAAGCCTCTACCCACTGATCACTGTCTAGTTTTTCTACAGCTTAAGAGTAAACCTGGTTCATAAAATCATAAAAGATACTTCTTTCCTTTTTTCTTGACCTTTAGCCTGTGGTATTGTCACTGAGGTTTTCTTCTACCTCAGCCTAAGAAGGTGCCAGATCACCTATCAGTGGTTCTCATCCTGGATGTACATTAGAATCACTAAGGGACTCTTTTTTTTTATTTATTTTTTGTTTATTGCAGTTTATAACATTGGTTTATATAGCATTGTATAAATTTCAGGTGTGCATCATTATACTTCTATTTCTGCACAGATTACATCATGTTCGCCACCCAAATACTAATTACAACCCATCACCACACACATGTGCTGAATTATCTAAGGGACTCTTTAAAAATACTGTTGCTTAGGCCTCATCTCAAGATTTGGATTTAACTGGTCTAGAGTGAGGTTCAGATATTATTGTTAGAAAACAAACAAAAATCCCTCCAGGTTATTATGATGTGCAACTAGAGCCCTTCCTAATAGAGGAAGCCCCCATTCTGTTCTTCTACTGATCCTTTCTTCTGGATCTGTGAAATCCTAAAGCGTGACTAAGGCTTACTAGTGTGTTTATCTCACAGCCCCGGCTGAGGAACAAGGCAAAGAGAACCTTGGAGAATCTGACATGATATGACCTGATCCTGGCAGAGGCCTGTACACTGACACTCTGTTTATTCTCAGATTCATTTGTTTATTCAACAGACAAGAGTTGAGTGTCTGTTAATGTGACAGGTACTATGCTAGGTGCTGCGAGAAAAATTTGACAAGGGCCTCATCCTTATGAAGCTGATAGCTGATGATTCAGTTCTGGCCCTAGAAATGAATTCCTGTTCTGTGAGGACCCTTCTGCTTGTTCCACTTGTAGTGCTGCCTTCTGGTACACAGCTAGATGCCCTCCCCCACTCCCCTGTGCATAACATACTTAGTCTGCCAAACTCAGCCAGATGTCATTCGTGGCTCAGAGAGAAATGACCAGGACCTTGATTTCGTGACCTACCAGCCAAACTAGGTTACTAAGAAATACTAGCAGCACTGGTAGCCCTAAACTCCTGTGCCTTCTTAGTGAGCTTAGCTGGGCCATGAACCTAGAACCTAGAACTCTATTTGGCCCTCTCATGAAGGGTAAACTGAATTCCAAGAATAATAAAGGCAGCTCTGGGTGACCTGCTTCTGACTGTTTACTTCTGGGCCCACATCTTGGCCTTGACCTTGACTTTATCACTCTAACTAAAGGAAGAAGTAAGAAGTTGTTGCAGAAATGCAGTGAGGGAAGATGAGAGCTTGCCACCTTCTCTAAAGCCTGGAGCAATGGGGGCCGCAGAGCGCACTTCTTGTCTCCCTATCCCTCAGCCCTGTGGTCTGCTAAGTCATGGGGTCACTTTTCCCATGAGCTGCAGGAAGCAGGGAGAGATGAGAAACCAGAGACCAGTTGAAAAAGAATACCAAAGTAGGTAAAGCGATCAAAGCCCACATCTAAGTGTGAGTTCTTTTTATAATTTCCTCAGCACTCCTTTCTCTGGAGGATGGAGACTCACTAAGTATCCTTGAGCTATGGCAGAGTGTCCCCATCCCTCATCTCTGCAGTTGCCTAGAGAGCTCCCTCTAGAGGTCAGGGTGCTGGCCTGGGGATACAGCAAGACTGACTTTCTAGCTCCAATTGACAAATTAATAATAAAACAAGTAGCAAAAAATAATAAACAAGTTGCCAGATAGATACAATTTCTGGAAAAATGCGATGAGGAAGAATGGAGGAGGCAGGGCGGTTGGCGGTGGGGCTGCTTTAGAGAGGCTGATTAAGGAAGGCTACTCTGAAAAAAGGGTATTTGGGCAGAGACCTGAGTGATGAGAATACAAAGCTATGTTGTGGTGTGTTCTGGGCAGTGGCAGCGATAGATAGAAAGGCTCCCGGGTAGGACGAGCTTGATGGGTTTCAAGAACGTCAAAGGAGCAGTGTGGGGAGAGTGGAGTCCATGAGGGGGCAGATGATAGGAAATAAAATTGGAGATGTGGGCTCTGATTCTAAGGATGGTGGGAAGCCTTCCTGGAGTCAGTGTTTTGCTTTCTATGGTCACTATTTTGAAGAGTAATACTAATTTAATTTATGTTTATAACTTAAAGTGTACATGTTAACTAGCCAGTGTTGTGGTGAGTGGTTGTGGAGAATAAATGCATATCCTGAATCTATCCTTGAATATTGTTGCAGGAAGATCCAAGAAACCTATGGCAGTGTTGCCTGGGTGATGGGTTAAGATGCTGCAGGCAGGCCAAGAGAGGAGAAACACTTATTTTTTAATTTGTTCTTCAGTTGTGTTTGAATTTGTAATGTGTGTGCACATTTTTGAGAGGCCTGTTTATTAATACACCATATACATGTGCGTAAGATTTGGTTTTTACAGAAGCAGTGTAGCTGTTGTGCTCATGAAAACACAAAGCGATCTGTAGACCAGTTCCTCCTCTGAGATCATTTGATAAGTGTTTAGAGGCTGCTTGGCATTTGGATTTCTATGAAATGCAAACACTGATACTTAAGAGCTTTCGGCAAATGAAATGTGCTTCTGTTTTCGTAGATAACACTTCATTTTTCTATTTCAAATTGCATCTTTTGCTCCTTTCCCCAGGCAACAGAAACAGACACCAAAACCAGAGTGTGCACCCGGGCGTACCATCTACTTGTGAAAAAACTGGGCTTTAATCCAAATGACATCATCTTTGACCCTAATATCCTCACCATTGGCACTGGGATGGAAGAACACAATTTGTATGCTGTTAATTTTATCCGTGCAGCAAAAGTCATTAAAGTAAGTATAGATATTTTTTCTCTTCTATCCAAGACATTGCTCAGATTTATCACAGGGCTCCAGTGAATAGTTTGAGCTAACATACATATATTTATTGGCTGGGAATGTTGACATGCTTGTTCTTACACAGTAAATTGGTTTTCTGAAATTTAGGGGCCTTTATTATTTTTCTTTTATATGTTATTTTCAACTGTGAAGTATACCACACACACTGGAGAATATATAAAAAATATGGAGTCTAATAATTAATTATGAAGCGTATAATAGCTTTCACCTGGGTCCTGAAATAGACCATAGCTAGTGCTCCTGTGACTGTCCCTTTCTGATTACACCCTCATTCTGAACTTTATGAAGTAACCATCATCCTGAGTTTTATGATGCTGCTTTGTTGTTCTGCTTTATAGTTTTATTACTTACATATGTACAGTAAATCCGAATTACCCATGGATTTTGTATTTGTGAATTCACCTACTTGCTAAAGTTTATTTGTGACCCCAAAATCAATACTCATGGTGCTTTTGAGTCATTTGTGGACATACTCATGTGCAGAATAGTGAAAAATTTAAGTGGCCCAACCCACATGTTCTCAGATGAAGTCAACCAGGACATGCTCTGCCTTCTTGTTTCAGCTCTCATTCTGTCAACAAGTGTCTTCTTCATGGTCTATTTAGTGCCATGTTTTTCACATTTTTGAGCTTTTTCTTGGTGATTTCTCTGTTTAAATGGCCACAAAGTATAGTGCTAAAGTGCTGTCTAATGTTCCAAAGTACAAGAAGGCTGTCATGTTCCTTATGGAGGAAGTACATTTGTTACATAAGCTTCATTTAGACATGAGTTATAGTGCTGTTGGCTGTGAGCTCAGTGTTAATGAATCAACAATATATATTAGACAAGGTGTATTTAAACAGAAACACACATAAAACAAGGTTATATAATGATCAGTTGATGAGAATTTTGTGAACAGAGGCTAACAGGAGCCTAACACTGTATTTCCCTTAGGAGCAGTGGTTTTCAGTATTTCTTGATTCAGTGTTTGTGGTGACTTTACAGAACATAATAACTACCATAAATGATGAGAATCGACTCTATAAGCAGTATAGTTTAATTTTGCCTCTTTTGAGCCTAATGTAAACAGAGTCTTAAAACTTTTATGCCTTCTTTCCTTATTCAACTTCGTTTTAAAGATTCATGTGTGCTGTTGCAGTGGTACTTGTTCCTTTTTATTAATGTATAATATTCCGTCGTGTAACTGTACCACAATTAACTGTTCTATTGTTGATAGATATTTGGTTTGTTTCCAGTTTTTGGACATGATGAGCAATGCTACTGTGAACATTCTTATATATGTAACTTGGGCACATGTGCATGAGTTTCTCTATAGCATATACCTGGAAGTGGAGTGGTTGGGTCATAGTAGTAGATAATGGCAAGATGTCTCCCTAAATGCTTGAGCTAGTTTGTACTTTAACGAACAGTAAGTAAGAGTTCCTCTTGTTTCACGTGCATGCTAATGCTTGACATTGTCATAAAGTGTGGTGGGAATTTCCTTTTGTCCTTTTATAATTGGTCGATTTTATAGTGAACTAGGGAGTTTGTTCATTAGGCTATAGACACCTTCTAGCAGCTTGTGCTTTCAATGAATGACAGGCTTCTGTCTGTCTCTCTACTTTTTCTCTCTCTGTCTGCCTCTCTGTGTGTTGTCTGTCTGTCTCTGTCTCTTTCCTTCTCTGTCATTTCTCTAGCAGATATTTTACGGTGCACTCACTATGCATTGTGCCCTATCATGGTCACTGCAGAGGTATATAGAGGTAAAGCAGAATTTTTTGTTTTCCCTTAGGGAGATTAGAGTCTAGTAGGAAAAACTGTTTATGAGGCAGTGCCTTTGTGACACCATAATATGGCAAATTTGGGTCTGCATCTAGCTACCAGAAGCTCTGAATTACTTTGGACTTTATATGTTTTTTACTTTCCACTCTTCTATATAAAGCTTAAGAGATGTGATTGCTGCTTTTAGCAAAATAGGGGGATCTTTTCACTTTTTTTTGTTTTTTTGCCAGGAAACATTACCTGGAGCCAGAATAAGTGGAGGTCTTTCCAACTTGTCCTTCTCCTTCCGAGGAATGGAAGCCATTCGAGAAGCAATGCATGGGGTTTTCCTTTACCATGCAATCAAGGTATAGTAGAAGATGTGTTTGCACTGTTGAGATCAGCTTTCACTCAGTGCAGGGGTTTGCAGACTTGGGCCGCAGACACCCTGGCCTGCTGCTGGTTTCTGTGGATGCAGTTGTTTTGGCCGCGGCCACGCCCTCTCACTTACATACTGTCTGTCTGCTTTCACGCCACAGCAGCGAAGGTGAGTCGCTGTGACAGAGGTAGGCCGTATTTCATGGCCTGCAACATTTTCTGTCTGGCCCTTTACAGGGAAAGATTGCTGACCCCTGATTTAGGGTGTCACTGGAAATCCTCATTTTCCTTTTTATTGCCGCAGTTTGGTATGGACATGGGGATAGTGAATGCTGGAAACCTCCCTGTATATGACGATATACATAAGGAACTTCTTCAGCTCTGTGAAGATCTCATCTGGAATAAAGACCCTGAAGCCACTGAGAAGCTCTTACGTTATGCCCAGGTAGAGAGAAAAGTGGTCTAGGGGATGGCTTTTCCTATCTTTGAATTTATCAGTCACTCACAGTTATTAGACCTTCATTGTACAATAGAAGCAAGTAGCTGATCATGTCTTTGGATGATGGAAGATTTCTAAAGAGTTCCTGAGCATGTTTTAATTAGGGTGGGGAAGGAGAAACAGGCCATACACAGGCTGCTTCACTATTCAGAACCTGTTTCTTTAAGTTTATTTTAAATTGTGAAATTAATTTTTCTCATACCAAACTAACACATATTAATTCTAGAAAATTTACAAAATACAGATAAGCAAAAGAAGAAAATAAAATCACTCCTAATCCTACCACCCGAAGTTAACCACTGTTGAGATTTTGTTATAACCTTTTAGTCATGGTTTTGTGTGTTTTTCAAAATGAATGTGTACTCATAGATGTGTAAATGCACACACTGACACACATTTTTACAAAAATAGAACTATACTCTAGATGCTTTTTTAGTAACCTGTTTGTTTAGCAGTATACTGGAACATCTTTCCATTTTATTAGATATTTGTCTACCTCATCATTTAAAATGGCTATTTTGGATTTTCTGACATGGCTGTGTCATTATTACCTGGTTCCCATTGTTATAAGTTTACATTTGTATACCTGTTTATATTACGGTCTGGTCCATCTGTGGCAAGGTTCTGCAGTTCAAGGCTTGAAGTCTGTACACATTTCATCTATAAAAATGAGAATAATTATTAATCCAAAAATCAGTTCCTTGTTTCCCACTTATTATGTGTTGGCAGTCCTAGATACAGTAAGTATCTATCATGGGTGCTGCTTCCTAGAATTTAGTTTAAGGAAAGATGAAATCTTTACCTCATAAAAACTTACTGTTTGGTTGTTTCAGCAAGTGATGGCAAAGGAAGACATTTTTCTCACAAAGCACGTTGGGAAGTGATAGGATGCTTTTATGTGTATTGCCAGCTTCATTAAATTTTTTCCATGTTAAAATCTGAATTTAACTCTGGCAGAACTGCTAACTTTTCCTCTTCTGCCAAAGAGTATTAAAATGTTCTAGAAGAAGGATAGGACAATGTAGGATTAACCACATCCTTGATTGGTCAGCCTTATGGGTGGCAAGATTGAGATTTCTGAAGCTGCTCATGTCAGCCTTCGTTCGGCTCGGCAAAGCTGACTGAAGTTCACACTCTGTGCCAATGAGCACATGACTCTCCTCTCAGTTCCTTAAAAACATTTCTGATTTCTCATGTGAACCCAGGACAGAATGTCTCAGGTTGCAAATATAACCAAGTTCTGCTTCTTAGCTTATTACATAAGAAACAATCCCTAGATTTCTTTTTCTAGTCTTGTGACTGTTTCTGCTCATGTAGAAAAAGTGCTCAGTCCTTTAATATTTTTTGAATATCAAGACATTGGTATGAAACACTATTTGGTTTTCAGTCTTAGCCTATCTTCCACCTAGTGGGGGACCCTTCACTAATAACTGACTAAGGCAGGGTTCTGTTGAAGGTCAAAAGGGTATCATAGCTTATATAATCATGAAGTTCTGCCAGAGAGTTCCTAACCCATAAAAAGATGTGCTACTTCATCTTTTCCTCCACTGTCTAGATGAGACAGCTCTCTCACTTAGGAAAGATAGGGCTCCTTATTTGTAAGACTATTCTCATTTAACGTTTTGTTGGCTTTGTATTTTATGTCAGTCATTCTTTTCCGTCTGTGTTCACTTTTAGCATTTGTTTACAAGTTGTTTCTGTATATCATGCTGAGCTGACAAGAGGTTTGCCCCCAGGGCACAGCCAAATTGAGGGAAATCTTAATAGCAATTCCACGAGCTTAAACAATCCATCATGTAAGAAATTGCCTCCCTCTTAATGTAACCACAAGGCCTTATTACAAGCCATTGATCCCTCTGTCAAGTAGGCTAACTATCTACGTCAAAAGGTGACTTCTGTTACCATTAAAGGAATTAATAACCAAAACAGTATACTTTAATAACTCCCAGGAGTCGCCAGCTCTGGAGCAATTCCTCAGGATACACCAAGTGCAAATGGAGCATGAAAAGCAGGAATATCATAAGGCAAATAAGGGTTGAGGAATTTTTTTTTCTTTATAAGAGAATTATCTCTTTTTGTTATTAAATGATGAAGTCTACACCCAGGTTCCTGCCTGATACATTATTGAGGAAGAGTAGAAAGAATCTGATCTTCCTAAACTGTCTAATCCTTCTTTGGGGGAGTAATGGGCTTTACTGAAAAATAATTCCCCTAATTTGGTGCAGACTGACCTGTGGTGAATAAATTATTTTTGGTAATAAAAAGTTCTAGGTGTCATGGTAACATATAATTCACATGGAGTTTCTTTATTAAGTACTTCTTAGGAGGACCCTAATAGAGGTCATGACCCCTTTAGGCATGAACTGGAAGAATCTGTGCTCTGAATAGGATAGCTCTTGAATGACCTCAGATTGCGAGAATATTCTTGATACTTTTCTGGAAAAAAGGTCATCTGGCCTTGATCCTCTCGTTGCCATTGGAGCTCACATTCTTCTTTGGCTTTCTCTCGAGCAGTTCACTCCTCTTCATGCTGGTCCAGTTTGATTTCAGAAACAAAACGCAGATCACCATGAGGACCCTGTGAAGCAGAAGCTACTCTAGAGTAGTGGATAGGATGCGAGGAGTAGCCAGATGGACGTGACAATTGATTGTTGGGTTTGCTTGGCAGCCTGCGGTTTTGATGAACTTCCACAGCGTGTCTGGTGTCTGGTCTAACTTAGGGTGTGAAACTGTGCAGCAGCTTATGTTTAGATCATCCTATTGAATAACTAGTTGGAGAGCAGGATGGGCTCAGCTTGCCACGTTGTACTTCTGACATAGCTGCTTTTAAATGGCATCATTTCATCTTAAGTATTGATTTTCTGAAGCATCTTCAACAGGTGGGGTAGTTTTCATTCATTGTAGCCCCCAACACTTGAGTGAAGTCTTCACTGGCCTTCACTGTGTCCTGACCTGCCGCTGTTTGTAATCACGTACGTATTGACCCCTCTCCACCCCATACGTGCAGCACACTGTGATATTTTTCTGTGAACACACCAGGTCCTTTTTCCAAGAGTGTTGGAACACTCTGCCCTGTTTTTACACATCAAACTCCATCCTGCAACAGGAATTGCCTGATTTTGTGGCTAAGAGAACAAAGGGTGTTCACGTGTATCAAGTGATGTGAATGCGAGCTTTAGAGGGACTTTCTCTTTCTTTCTTTTTTTTGCAGTGCCGCATAGCTCTAGTTTTCATGTTTTCCCTTAAATAAAGGTCAGAGTATATAACCTATGAATTTTGTAATTTTTAGAGTATTTTTAATGGAGATATAATTAACATATTAGTTTCAGGTGTACAACATAATGATTCCATATATTGTGAAATGATCACCACAATAAGTCTAGTTCACATCTATCACCACACAGTTACAAATTTTCTTGTGATGAGATCTTTTAAGATCTACTCTCTTAGCAACTTTCAAATATATAGTACAGTATTGTTAATTATAATCACCATGCTGTACATTACATCTCCAAGACTTTTTTACTTTTTATTTTTTGACCACCTTCACTCATTTTGCCCCCCTACCTCCCTGCCTCTGGCAACCACCAATCTGTTTTCTCTTATCTATGAGTTCAGTTTTTTGTTTGTTTGTTTGTTTTAGATTCCACATATAAGTGAGATCATATGGTATTTATCTTTTTCTGTCTGACTTATTTCACTTACACAATGCCCTCAAGCTCCATCCATGTCGTTGCAAATGGCAGGATTTTCTTCTTTATGGCTGAATAATATTCCATTGTATACCTCATTTTCTTTTTCATTTATCCATTGATAGATACTTGGGTTATTCCTATGTCTTGGATATTTTAAAAAATGCTGCAAACAATTATTTTTAAATTACGTCTTCTTTAGGTTTTTCAATATGTGAGAAAGCCCTTGTGTTGTCATAATTTTAGTTACAGCCCCAGCCCTGAATCTTTGCGTTCCCTCCAAGTCCTTCCTTCTCTTCTTACACATGGTTTGTTACTTAATGCCTTTGTGTTTGTCCTTTCCTTCCCCTCCTGTTACCACCACTAGGGTCTAAGCCTTCATCTTGGACTATTAAAATATTCTCCCCCTTCTTGGGTTCTCTTTAAAATACTACTTTGTTTCTTTTTTTTTGTGAGGAAGGCTGGCTCTGAGCTAACATCCATTACCAATCCTCCCCTTTTTACTGAGGAAGATCAGCCCTGAGCTAACATCTGTGCCCATCTTCCTCTATTTTGTATGTGGGTCGCCGACACAGCATGGCTTGATGAGCAATGTGTAGGTCCATGCCCAGATCCGAACCTGCAAACACCGGGCCGATGAAGCGGAGCGCATGAACTTAACCACTACACCACCGGGATGGCCCTTAAAATACTACTTTGAATGTTACTCTGCAGCTTCCAAACTTTGAATTGTTCCCCCAATCCCGCAATTTCTTGGAGAGTTAAATCCACACTCCATAGCATAGATTTCTGGTGCTCTGTGACATGGCCTCTACTATCTTTCACAAACATTATGCCAGAAAATTTGTTTTTGTTCATCACTGAAACATTCAGCTAATATTTACCGAATTCTTGTTTTGTGCACTTTACTGAACTTGGAGGATCTAACTAGTAAGAGAACTATGTCCCTACAGAGCCTACAGTTTAGTGAGACGTGCAAAAATGTATGGAAGCGATTGTAATCCAGTGTAGTAAGTGCTATGGTAGGAGAAATACAGGATGCTATGAGAATGCTTAGGAGGGACACTGAACCCAAAGGTAGAGGTGGTCAGGGAAAGCTTCCCAGAAGTGATGGGTCAGGTGAGTCCTGAAAGCTAAATAGGAGTTTGCCAGGCTAAGATTTGGGGTTAGAGAGCAGTGCTGGTGGTCCCTGCCAGGGGAGGAGTATTTGCGTCTAGCTGGGGCCTGGCGTCGTGGTAGGTGCTGAATAAATGTACGTCAGAGGAGCAAATGTGAAGGCCCAGAGCTGAAAGAGACGATGGAGAGTGTAAGAAACTAAAATATTGAGGATGCCTGAGCTTGTTGGGAATGGTAGAAGATGAGGCTATAGGAGAAAGCCAGATCAGGGCATTGTATGGCATAGAAAGGAGTCAGTACTGTATCTCAAGAGCAATAGGCAATTTACAATGAATTTTTTCACATAGGGGCAATTTGATCAGATTTGCATTTTGGAAAGGTCCCTCTGGCTACTGTGTGGAAGGTGCATTGGAGACTAGGGTGATTCTAGGTTGTGGAGACCAGTTAGTTGCTTGGATTATGAAAGTGAAACCAGGTTTGAGAGAAATGTTGAGGAAGTGTAATCATTAGGACTTGGTGATTGATTAATTGTGAGGAATGAATGAAGGTTCAAGAATGATACTTATTTTCTGGTTTGGGTAACTGGTGCCACTGGTTGAGATGGAGAATACAGGTAAGATAATTCAGTTCACCTTATGTACCATAATCTTGTGCTTTTGTTCCTTTGCTGAAGCTGTCAGCTTCTTCCAATTTTCTCTTCACCACCCCAGTTTGTGATAATCACTCCTTCCTCAGAATTCCTAGTCTAGTTTGTATTATCTACTACTAGGCTGTACCATCTGCTCACTCGATCCTTGGCACAGGCTTTCTCTAGCAGCTTACCTTTCTTTGTATATTTTCCACCTCCCTTATGATATGACCAGGTCTTTGAGGGCATAGTTCGTGTCCTGCACTTCTTAGTGTGCCCACCTCCAGGCTGATGTCTGACCTGGCTTCATTACAGCCTTTGTACATATATTTGTGGGTAGTCATGGTCCTTGCTGAAAGCTTTAAAAACTCATCAAATGTGGGGTATAACTTCAAACATTTATTGAGATCTTAATTCCTGCTGGATACTCTACGAGCGGCTGGAAATATAAAAGAAGAATAAAACATAGTTTTTTTGGTGCCAAATAATTCTAAGTGACCTGTTGTACCCATTTCTCTGTCCTAATTTCGATTCAGACTCACGGCAAAGGAGGGAAGAAAGTCATCCAGACCGACGAGTGGAGGAATGGCCCCATTGAACAACGCCTTGAGTATGCCCTTGTGAAGGTGAGCTGTGCGAGCGCTGAGTGAGTATGAACTGGAGGGCAGGTGGCTCCTCGTGGTTGTCTGATGTTGTTGCTGGAAGGGTGGTGCTGACAGCAGCTGGCAAAGGAGATTCTCTAGACCACCCCTGGGTGATTTTGCACCCCCTATCTCTGGCACATTTGGCAGTGTCTAGAGACATTTTTGGTTGTCACAACTAGGGGTGAGAGGTGTTACTGGCATCCAGTGGCCAGGGATGCTGCTAAACATCCTACAGTGCACGGGACAGGCCTGCATGACGAAGAATTCTTCAGCTCAAAGTGTCAGTATTGCCAAGGTTGAGAAATGCTCTCCTAGACCGAGTTGCTGTCAATCGATCAACAGTCAATTCCTGGCTCTTCTGCTGATAATTGGAGTTTTAGCCAACATAATCTCTTAGCTTCAGTTTCCTCATTTTTGAGTCTGGAGAATTTCAGAGGTTTTTTTTGGCTCTAGAATTTAACTTTTAACTTCCTGGACCTTTTGAGATTCACATATTTCGGGTTGTGGAACTAATCAGCCACGTCCAAGGAGCCTTGAACTGGGGATGCTGAAGGATTAGGGCTAAGTCAGTGGAGGCTTCATGGAAGTGAACTTCCCCTAAGGGTCCCGCCCATTGTCATTCCTCCCCAAGCCCCGTAACGTTACAGTGAGAAAACATACTGATCTCACAGGAGATATTTATTAATGTATAACCTCATAAAGCACTAGGATAAAAAGTGTATTTTATAATGAATTTGACTTTGCTTGTTAGTACTCCTTCTCTCACTAACAGCTCACTTTTACTGAGTAATTACTTTGTATCAATAAAGCCAGCTAAACGCTTTACATGGGTTTTCTCACTTAATCCTCAAAATAAACATATGAAAGAGTAGGTACTATGTAGTATTTTACTTTATGAAACTGAGGCTTAATTAATTGTCTAAATTAGTGATAGGAGCCAGGATATGAACCCGTGAAGTCTGATTCTAAAACCCCCACTCTTAAGCATTTCCATGATTCATTCTTTGTTGGCTGTTTGGACTTAAAGCAATTTTTAATGTCATCTTTTTTTCCTAATTTCTTTTTGTAGGGCATTGAAAAATATATTGTGGAGGATACTGAGGAAGCCAGGTTAAACCAGGAAAAATATCCCCGACCCCTGAATATAATTGAAGGGCCCCTGATGAATGGCATGAAAGTTGTTGGTGATCTTTTTGGAGCTGGAAAAATGTTTCTACCTCAGGTTGGCAAAAAATGGGGGGAAGTTTTCACAATTGAAAGAAAAAGTCTATGTCTTGTAATAAATAGTAAGTTTGGGTATATTTCTCAGGTTTTAATTTTGAGGAGAGCCCAGGGGCATTGAGATCTGGTCATTCTTTCTCTAAACGTATTTAGGAGTAACGTCTGATTTAAAAACCCATCTTTAGGGTGATGTGGAGATTAGAGGTCATCTGGAAATTCTTAGCATTCTCATCTTCTGTACCACCTCTTACCCCCAACACCTGTCTATCTCTCCCCTCAAATTAAAATAAAACCCAAGATTAATATAAAGTTATTAATATTAAGATTTGATTTGACCAGCCAATATTCACCTTTAAGGATCCATATTTTGAAAAAATTATTACCATTTTAAACAGTGATATACAGTCAATGATATGTTTTGAGTAAAACCAGAACTCTTATTTTGATTTATAGCAGCTGCTAACCACATCATTTAACACATACTTGTTGAGCCCTTTGGGTTTGGTGCTATGAGGCATACGAAAAACTAAAAGGTCTTGTTCTTTTTTTGTTTTTAATTTACTTATTCTATATTTAATTGTTAATTGCCCATTTTCCTTCATAATGTTCATCCTTTTTTTAAACAGCTTTATTTTATAATTAACATACAATAAACTGCACGTATTTAAAGCATATAGTTTGATTAGTTTAACATGTCTGCACCTGGGAAACCATCACCACACTCAACAGAAGGAACATTTAGTTGTCCTGTCGTCTTAGTCCCCTCCAATCTGTGATAGTTCCTCAGTCTTTGTTTTTCACGACGTTGACTTATTATTTTAACTTTTTGAGTTAGCTTTAGACTTACAGACAAATTGCAAATGCAGTTTAAATGTGTCCATATATCTCCCACCCAACTTCTTCCCCCAATGTTAACGTTTTTACATGACCATGCTATGATTATCAGAACTGGGAAATTAACATTGATATGCTGTTGACCAAAGACCTTATTCACATTTCACCAGTTTTTCCACTACTGTTTTCTTTGTTGCAGGATGCCACATTGCTTTTATCCTGCCCCCATAACAGTTCCTCAGGCTTTCCTTGTGACCTTGACTTTTGAAGAATACAGCACAGTTATTATGTAGACTGTCCCTCAATTTGAATTTGTCTGATTTTTTCTCATTTTTGGCAAGAATAGCACTGAGTAATGCTGTGCCTTTCTCCATGGATCATATCAGGAGGCCCATCTTGTTGTTATGACTCATTACTGGTGATGTTAACTTTGATCATTTGGTTAATGGTGTCTGGTAGGTTTCTCGACTATAAATTTGCCTGTGGGGAGAAACTTTAAGACTGTGCAAATATCCTGTTTCCCATCATACTTCCACCAATGAATTTTAGCATACATTGATGAATTTTGTAAAAGGCTCTGTTCTTGCTTAAGCATAAGCCTTCATTATAAGTGAATTGTAATGCTGGGGATTGAGAGGAGAAGGCTGAGAAGGGGCTCATGGTAGAGAAGCTTGAAACTTTAAGGATGCATAGAGAACTTGGAAAAGTGATGGAAGGCCTTCTGGGCAGAGAAAGAATAACATGTAGAAGTTCAGAGGACAGAAATTGCAACGTTTGATTTCCAGCCTTGTTTTCCTTCTGCTTTACCTCGTTCATTGGCCCTCGCCACAGGAAACTCGTTTGTTATCCTGCCCACTGTCAAAAGTGGACTCCAGTGTGGCTGACCTAAGGTCAAAGCATTCCTTCTTAATTTATGCTAAAATTTCACAAGTGGCCATTAGCAACCATTCAGGTGGTTTTGTAAAGATGCCTTCCTCTGTGTATTTTTCCCAGGTTATAAAGTCAGCTCGGGTTATGAAGAAGGCCGTTGGGCACCTTATTCCCTTCATGGAAAAAGAAAGAGAAGAAGCTAAAGTGCTTACTGGTGCAGTAGAAGAAGAGGCAAGTCATTTTGTCCAGGCCTGTGGGCCCTGGGAGACTCTTACTGGGGTGGGGGTAGGGACCATAGGGCTTGGCTGTGTTTGTCATTGAGGATAAAATAGAGAAGTGATCTACCTCTTTTATCAAGTATCAGAATATCCCAGGATTTTCCTTTGAATGTGGCTTTCTGAAATTTTTAACATGAACATAATTTTTCAAACAAAGCTCATGATTTCAATAAAAAAATCATTCACTCATTCATCTATTGACCATTTACAAAGCTCCTACTATGTGCCAGGTACAGTGCTAGCCACTGAAGCTACAAATATCAGTCCCTGCCCTTGAGGTATCTGGATAATGAATGTTTGGTGTTGGAAAGCCTCTTAACTGAATCTTCTCTCTGTATCCTGGTAATGTCCTTGGCACCGCTTCTGGATTCAATTTAATTCTTGTTGGCTGCACCAACATGGTAAATTATTAAGCTTTGACCTTGTTTAGCTCCCTGTGAAAATCCGTCTATTTGGGCCCCTAGGATTCTGAATTCTTAAATTGATCTGAGTTTGTGAGTGGCTCAGACAGACATAGTGTTTATAAAAATCCCACTTGCCTTGCATGCCTTTTCCTTTTCTTTTTTTTTTTTCTTTTTCTTTTTTGGAGGGAGGGGATAATGACAGTGCACACAACACCAGTGCTGAAGAAACAAGATTATCCAATGCCCCTCTGTACCCGGCTGTTGTGGTGGTGGTCCAGTTTCTGAGGGGACATATGCAGTTCATCGGCTCCCCCTCTCCTCCCTCCCTCTCCCTTTACTGCTGACAGTAAACATTTGTCAGACAGTTTTGGGGGTTATGGATATGGTCTTCAGCTATGGGACTGTTTTGTATTTGAACATAAACTGTTCTTTGAGGTGCTAGAACCCATGATCTTAGTTGAAGCTCCCTGAGCTAACCACCTAGGTAGGCCTCCTTTGAACTGCTCGGGCTTATAGCTGTCTACTTGCAGAGCACATGATTTAGGCTCCAGGGCTATCTTTGAGGTTGTCCTGGTTGTATTAAGTTGCTTTCTGTGCCAGCACCTGTCTGGCTCTAGAGAACTAGGTGATCTGCTCTAAAATGACCACAGAAATGCTTAGCTGTTTGGCTTACTCTCCAGGACCCTTACCAAGGCACCATTGTGTTGGCCACAGTTAAAGGCGACGTGCATGACATAGGCAAGAACATAGTTGGAGTCGTCCTGGGCTGCAATAATTTTAGGTAAGTTGAGACCACTTCTTTCAACTCCTTTCTTATTTAAAAATAAAAGATTAACAGGATAATTCCTTATTGGGTTGGAGGGGTAGGATATGGCAGTGGATGTTAGAGGTTATTTTTAATTACTTTTTCCTTACTGTGTTTTCGAGTTTTCTGTTTTGAACGTACCTTTTTAAATGAAATAAGTTAGTAATTGTTTTATCTGTTATATGTTCAATAAGGACAAAAAGAATATTAAAAACTATTCAAGTAGAGTCAGAACAACCAAGAGGCTTCTTGAGAATTGACCTTGGGCCAGAGGCTCCAGTGACTAGAACACTGGGCTCCTACCTGTGGCTGGTGGCATGAAGCATGTTCCCTTTTCCTCTCAATAAACTGCCGTATTTTAGAGCCAAGATGTTATTAGACTTCGGCTAAATGGAGTTTCATAAGAGGGTTTTGACTGTACAATTCTCTCTTTCCTTTGCTTAGAACAGGACCATGCATGCCTCTTGGTAATGATGTAGCTAGATTTTGGAACGTTGTAGACAAGTAAAATCCCTTTTTGATATATCTCATTATAGTGAATAAATATTCAGTACAAAGTTATTTCCATGTGAGAGCTGATGACCTATAGTAAGTATGTATTTTGCTCAGATTTCAATATTCTTCATAATCAAAAGCCTAATATAACTAAGGCCTTCTCTGGTCCATATCCAAGCAACAGTCCTTTTGAGTCATAGACTTCTTTCCAGTGCACTATTTTCTCTGTAGAGAAGAGGGACTTGACGGCAGCTACCTCTGTGCCCCCTTAGAGTTCCCTTCCCCTGCTGTCAGATAACAATTACCCTTCAAGCCCCCTCCCTCCTCTCAACATGTTTCTCCATCTCTGCCTTAAAGGCTAATTAAATGCAACTAAGAACCACTCAGGAAGGCTGGAGATGGAGGAGCAGTGTCAGGATGGCACCTTTTTCCCTCTGACTGTCTTCACAAGCACTTCTGTGTGCCTGCCTCAGTGTCAAATGACCTAGCATTCTCTTCTAGTCCTGGAAATGATGAATATTGTTCTTGGAATGTCTTTATTATTTCTTTAAAGATAAGTGTATTGGAGATACCGTGGAGGTTGTTATAATGAGATTTCACCTGTAAACTAAGTATTTGGATAAAGTGTTTGCTTCCTAAACATTTCTGCTCTTGTCTCACCTTTTCAAACTCGATGTCGACAGTTTCTATTTGCATTCATCACAAAGTTCAGTTCAGCTAATAAATGTTTATAGATCATCTGCTACATACCATGTATTGTACTAGAGGCACCAAAATGATTTAGCTGACTTTTCTCTGTTCAAGGAGTTTACTGTTTATCAGGCTAAACACCCAGGTGCATTTTCACCTGTGATAGTGGGACAAGAGCTGTTGAAAAGGCGACTTGTAGGCAGACTTCCTGAAGCAATTCTTGAGATATCGTTGTCATGTGTTTAGCATTTTTTATTTTGAGAAATGGATAAATAGGTGAGAGAATCATAGTAGGAATGTTTTTTCCTCCGGTAAAGACATCTGAAGAGGCCAGAGGGAACTGTGGCTCTTCTCCAGGGTGCTGCTAGAGCTGAATGTCAGCGGTTATGAAAGGCTGCTTATTAAACCGGAGGCTTTCCTCCAGCACATCCAGTTCCTCTCTCTTGTGCATTGCAGGTCTGCTTATCTTTGCTAGTAAGTCTAACTGGAGAAGCATCTTCCGATGAAACTTTATTCTTGTTACAAAAACACAAGTGAATGTGCAAACTTTTTCTATCAAGTCAAACAGCCCTTTGGGTCCCGTGTCTCATAACATTGAGTTTATAATTTTATGGTGTCAACTAGTAGACAAGTACCCCGGAGATCTGCCTTCTGTAGTTAGACGTATACTTGGCTAAGCATTAGTGTTCTAGGCTGGATGCCTGGGTGAGTCATCCAGCTAGTGAGTGAGTCTAGCAGACCATCCAGGACCAAATCCTAATGCAACTTTCTTGATCTCAGCTCTTTGTCATTGATGTCATTGATGTATCTCATGAAATGATAAGGATTTTTTTCTTTGTGGGGAAAGAAGATGTAAAGAAGACTAAAAGTGATAGTTGTTTCTAGACAGAAAATACATGTTTTTATGGAGATGATGCATCAGAGTCTATGTTACAATAGAATTTGCAAATTTGAGAATTTGAATAGATCTTGAGATATATCCACCAAGAGGTTACTAATACCTAACATTTGTTTACCACTTCGCAATTTATATAGTGCTTTTATATAACTAATTTTTCTTTTTTTGTCTTCTTTTACTGACTTTTTTTCTTTTACTTTCTTTCATCTTTCCTTTCTTTTAACAGTTTTGATCCTGCTCTTCCTGCCTCAATTATTATATATCTCATTTTACGGATGGGAAAACTGAGACTTAGAGAAGTCAAGTGATTTCTTCATGATCACACAGCTAGCAAGTGGCAGGCCATCCTCAGGGCTTCTGATTCCAAAAGTGGGGATTCTGTGCTATGTCAGTTTACCTTCCAATATTTATTCCAGTTATAAAGTTAACTTTAACTGTAATGTCTGATATTAATAGTCTAGTTAAATTCCTTTTAAGAAATAATTTAGAATATTTAAAAATATTGTTGATCAGATATTTGATCACATGCAAGTTGATTTTAGATATACTCTTTAATAATAATTATATGAAAAGACAAATATAAATATCTCCCATTTAACAGATAATTTTTGGAAGAAAAGGTGGGATATATCAACAGAAATTTTAAAATTACATATCATACATCTAGTACTTTAAAAAATATGGATCTGGTAAAACAGATAATGAGGCATATTTATATTTTAACCAGTGATTCTTTATATAGCTGTCTTGTATGGGTAAAAAATGAGCAATATATGGCTAAGAATGAGATACTTGGAAACTGTACGTTAGAGTGTTCGGCTGAGTGGGGAAAGTGGCTGTGTCTAGGTCAGGACACACTAGGCCAGTCTCTCCTAAGCACCTCACGTGTTCACTTGATACTTACCCAGAGGCTTTCAACTTGATATGTGTGTATATGTGTGTGTGTATATGAAATAAATTATAGGTATATTGTTTTCCAGCATTATTGAGATATAATTGATATAGAACACTGTGTAAGTTTACAGTGTACAACGTGTTGATTTGATACAGTTATATACTGCGATAGGATTGTTGCCATAGTGTTGGCTAACACCTCCATCACCTCACATAATTACCATTTCTTTTTTGTGGTGAGAACATTTAAGATCTACTCTCTTAACGTTTTCAAGTGTATAATACGATATTATTAACTGTATTCACAATGCTGTATATTAGATCCCCAGAACTTATTCATCTTCCAACTAGAAGTTTGTATCCCTTGACCAACATCTCCCCATTTCCCCCACCCCCCAGTCTCTGATAACCACCATTCTACTCTCTCTTTCTATGAGTTTGGCTTTTTTAGATTCCACATATAAGTGAGATCTTGGGGTATTTGTCTTTCTCTGTCTGACTTATCTCACTTAGCATAATGCCCTCAAGATCCATCCATGTTGTCGCAAAAGGCAGGATTTCCGTCTTCCTTGTGGCTGAATAATCCTCCATTGTATATGTATATACACCACATCTTTATCCATTTATCTGTTGACAGGCACTTAGGTTGTTTCCATATCTTGGCTGTTGTGAATAATACCGCAATAAACATGGGAGTACAGATATTTCTTCTATATCCTGTTTTCATTTCCTTTGGATATATACCTAGAAGTGGGATTGCTGGATCATATGGTAGTTCTATTTTTAATTTTTTGAGAAACCTCCATATTGTTTTCCATAGTGGCTGTACCGGTTTACATTCCCACCATCAGTGCACAAGGGTTCCCTTTTTTCCACATCCTCACCAACGCTTGTTATTTCTTGTCTTTTTGGTAATAGCCATTCTAACAGGTGTGAGGTGATAGCTCATTGTGAGTTTGATTTGCATTTCCCTGATGATTAGTGATATTAAGCGTCTTTTCATGTATCTGTTGTCCCCTTATATGTCTTCTTTGGAAAAAATGTCTATTCAATTCCTCTGCCCAACTTGTATTATTTTGAAGAGGAGACTTTCAAGAATTTTATTTATTTATATATTTTTAAAAAGGAGAAATGGAAAGAGACCCTATTACCTCCACTTAACCCCTGATGGGAAACCTGTGTTGGGGACTGCAGACTGGCAGGGTACCTCCATCTGGTGGTAGCACATATGAATTGCAGGATCAGAAACAAGCTGCCACCTTAGTTCAGTTCATGTGACCGCAAATATGAGGCATCTTAAGTGGATGCAGATGCATAGCTAGTTTTATTCTCCTTTTTAAGTTCCTTCTGGAGAGTAAAAGAGACTTTATCTATTACAATATTTATTTTCTAAATTGTATGTATTCTTAAATAGTATTTGATGCCTTTGCTAAAGCATTTAGTGCAGCTTACATTTTTTCTGAATTAGAAGCCCAAATTAAATGCTTGTTTTTACAACTGTGTTATAAGCACTTTAGAAAGATGGTTATAAAACCAATATTTTTCCATAACATTCATTTTTATTCTCTTTAATCTCTCATGTGGCAAAATACAAGAATGAGTATGAGAAGAGGCCTGCAAACATGGGGTGTAGCTCAAAGTGAAGAAGGGAAGCCAAGGGAAAGTCAGGGGAGATGGTGATGTATGTGGGGGAAGGAGGAAGTTGTAGTAAAGGTGAGAGAACATGGACAGGGGTGGTGGGAAGAGTGGCGGCAGCCACAGAAGGCAGGGGTGGGTTTGACCCATGCCCTCCTCTCCAGGCTTCAGATCCCTTTCTTCAGCCAGAGTTCCCCAGGGCCAGCTCGTTCATGATTCTGGACCTTCATAGTGCTAGTCTCTGCCTGGACTGCCCTCTTTTTCCCTGCATCTGGCTAATACCTACTTATTCTTTCAAAATTCAGCTCAGGTGTCACCCTCCTGGGACTCTTCTGATTGTCATCTGGTTTAGAAGGCCTCCCATAACACGCTGGAAACACCTCCATCGCAGCACTCACTACACTATATTCTGATTCAGAACTTGCCAACAGTTTCTCAACTCAGATGTGCTGAGAAACTGATCCCCTTCCTCGAGGGTGGGGCTGGGGGTAGCCTCAGTCCCAGACTGGTTGTCCCTGACAGTGAGCAACCACCTCATGTATCCCAGGGCCATAAATATTATTTTCTATGCATGGAAAAAGTTGGGAAGTGCTCTTCTAATCCATGATATATTTGACTGTTTCCCAACAAGACTTCTTAAGGCAGGCTAATTGGAAATTGAACTTGTCTCCCAGTCCCCTGGCTCACTGTTCTCAGATCCCTTCTTACCTCGCTGACCACTAGTTGTCTCTCTCTTTTGCTGATTTCTGCTTTGTGCAATCTATAAACAGGGGAGTGCTCCAGGGCTCAGCCCATGGACCTCTTGGACCTCTGTCTGTCCTCACTACCTAGGTTAGTGCTTCTCAAACTGTAATGTGCCTTCTGATTGCCTGGGAATCTTGTTAAGAGTCAGATCTGATTGAAGTAGGGCTGGACCTGAGGTTCTGCATTTGTAACGAGCTCCCAGGTAGTGTTGGTGCTGCTGATGCAGGGAGCTCACCCACCTAGGGTGACTCTGGGACAGGCTTATATCGTCTCATCCAGTCTCATGACTGCTTTTTTTCTTGCTCCTCTCTTCCCCCCTGCCCCTCCCCATCTCTTCTCTCTTCTTCCCCCTCCTCCTGCTCCTCCTCCGTCTTCCTCTCTTTCTCTCTCTGCTTTTGGCAATTTATTTCTCTAATTCTTTTACACATGGTCTCATGACATTTTAACACCATCTAATATGCTGACAAGTTCCAAGTTTTATCTCCAGCATGGATCTCTCACCTGAACTCCAGACATATGTATCCAATTAACTACCTGAGAGTTCCATTTAGATATCTAAAGAAGTCTCAAACTTAGTATTTTGAAAATTGAACTAATTGCCACCATTAAGATGCCCTCTCCTCCCTCTCTGACCTCACTGGCTACCACTTTCTCCTTCCTCAATTTCTATCCAGCCACAAAGTCTCCCTACTCTTTCTCAAACAAAGCCAGCATGCAGAAGATGTTCCTGAAAGATCCACTGCTTAAAACAAGGAAAAGGAATGAGAACAAGATGATGCTTGCCATCATACTGACAATTTTTAATTGAGTTTTAAAAATATATATAATGTTGAAAACAGCTTTGAAATGTATGCCTTTTTGTCTCTATTTTAAAGCAATATGCTATTTTGTTTAGTTTTATATGCAACAGTCTATACTTAGTCATAGTTCAACAAAAGATCCAGTTACCAGACTTTTTTCAATATGCTAAAAAAAAAGGTGGTATCATCTCACTCCTGTTATAACCTGCGGTGTCATATCATTAAAACCTGTAGCTTTTCTTTCTACTGGGTTAGTGCTAACAGCTGAATATAGTTATCATTGATTTGAAATTGTCTGGCTTCTTACTGAGGATTCCATATGTGCTGGTTTATTTAAAAAATTTTTTTTTAAGTAATATGGGAACAAGCTAAAAAATCCAACAGTATAAAAGGGTATATAGTGAGAAACAAGGCTCCTTTCTGCCTCTGACATCCAGGACATTGTGGACATCACTCATTCATAGGGTCAGGAGTCAGAGCCGACTTGATGACACATAAAACATAGTTCTTAAGCATTGATTTTTTTATTTAAAATTATTTTGCCTGTCTAATTTTAAGAATTGTTGACATTATGAAATAAGTGAAAATGCATGCTGTAATTTTTTAAACGTCTTTTAAACAAATACTCATGATAAAATTAAATTGTAATAATGACTGACATTATAGATCCTCTCTAGATCTAGAATAGAGGAGTAGCACATAGAATATTTTGCAGGGCAGAGATTACTGTTTTCTCTGAGTTCCAGAAAACCGTCTCCTCTGTGAATTGGAATTTCTCTGGTGGTATTCTCTTCCATCAGAGCATCCACCAGGCTTTCTCTGCCCATGCCTGCCCTCTTTCTCATGTGGGCCCACCCAGAGCCAGCTTTTCCTTTGAGTCTCACACCATCTCTCCGGGTGAACTGCTCCCTGATTCAGGCTCCCTCTCCCTTGACTTACGTAACCAGATTTCTTGATCATCAGCTTTTGGTGTGCAGGAACTGACCTCTTCTTGATTATCCTTCTCATTGGCTTCCGTGTAGTACACTGTTCAATAGATATTTATTGAGTGAACTTCCCCAGCATTTTTATTGGCCTAAATGGCTAAGAGGATGGGTTTTTTGGTGTCAGATCCTGGTGCAAATCCCAACTCTGCTACTAATTAATTGTGTGACTGGGCAAGTTGCTTAACTTCTCTGGGCCCAAGCTCCTCTGGGCCCTTTCTCATTAAAACATAAAAGTCATGTTTTCAAGAATAATAATAATATGGCCGGCCCCGTGGCTTAGCAGTTAAGTGCACATGCTCCGCTACTGGCAGCCCGGGTTCGGATCCTGGGCGCGCACTGATGCACCGCTTCTCCGGCCATGCTGAGGCCACGTCCCACGTACAGCAACTAGAACGATGATGTGCAACTATTACATACAACTATCTACTGGGGCTTTGGGGGAAAAAAAAGGAGGAGGATTGGCAATAGATATTAGCTCAGAGCCAGTCTTCCTCAGCAAAAAGAGGAGGATTAGCATGGATGTTAGCTCAGGGCTGATCTTCCTCACACACAAAAAAAAAGGAATAATAATAATAATAAAAAAAGAGTATTAATTGGTACAGCCTACCTCAAAATCAAGTTTAAAATATGAATCAAACATCATAAACATATATTTAATGCAATAATCCCATTTATAATTATTCATCCAAATTATATATTTGGAGAAAGGAATAAAGTAAATATATGAAAACAAAACAAAAATGGGGCCTATAATAGTACTTTATCATCGAGTTGTGGTGAGGGTTAAATGAGATTGCTTATAAAAAAGCTTAGCAGAGGGGCCGGCCCAGTGGCTCAAGCAGTTAGGATCCCGGGCGCGCACCGACGCACCGCTTAGGAAGCCATGCTGTGGTGGCGTCCCATATAAAGTGGAGGAAGATGGGCATGGATGTTAGCCCAGGGCCAGTCTTCCTCAGCAAAAAAGAGGAGGATTGGCAGATGTTAGCTCAGGGCCAATCTTCCTCACAGAAAAAAAAGAAAAAAAGCTTAGCATAGTGGAAGCAACCCAAGTGTCCATCAACAGATGAGCGAATAAACAGAATGTGGCACATCCATACAATGGAGTATTCAGCCTAAAAAAGGAATGAAGTTCTGACACATGCTACAACATGGGTGAACCTTGAAGACATTATGCTAAGTGAAACAAGACAGTTGCAAAAGGACAAATTATGTATGATTTCACTTATCTAAATGTCTAGAATAGACAAATTTATAGAGACAGAAAGTAGAATAGAAGTTGCCAGGGGCTGGCGAGGATGGGGAATTGTTGCTGAATGGTTACAGGGTTTCTGTTTGGGGTGATGAAAGAGTTTGAAAATAAATAGTGGTGATAGTTGCCCAATATTTTTACCCATTGTAATTAGCGCCACTGAATTGTACACTTAAAAAGAGTTAAAATGGAAAATTATATATTATATATATTTTACCAGAGCTTAAAAAATAATAATATAATATACCAAAAACTGTTGAATTGTGTACTTGGAATGGGTGAAGTGACTGCTATGTGAATTATGTATCAATGAAGCTGTTTAAAAAAGCTTAGCATAGTCCTTGGCATGTGGTAAGTACTTAATAAATGGCAGTTGTAGTTGGGGTGGTTGTCAAAATTTAGTGAGCATTTCAATTCCAGTTTACATTAGAGCAGTACTTGATGGCTAAATAAAAATGTTAATTTCTGGGGACGGCCTGGTGGTGTAGTGGTTAAGTTTGCATGCTCTGCTTCGGCAGCCCAGGGTTTGCAGGTTCAGATCCCGGGCGTGGACCTACACACTGCCCATCAAGCCATGCTGTGGCAGCATCCCACATGCAAAATAGAGGAAGACTGGCTCAGGGCCAGTCTTCCTCACCACCCTCCCCCCCCAAAAAATGTTCATTTCAGCTTTGTCTCTAATGGGTTCTCATTAATTTTCTCACATCTCATTTCTGTACCTCAGAGTTATTGATTTAGGAGTCATGACTCCCTGTGATAAGATACTGAAAGCTGCTCTTGACCACAAAGCAGGTACTGTGAAACTGTGCTTCTTGACGTTTCGCTACATGCCGTTCCCCCCAGGTGTCTGTCTGTCAGTGAATAGTGATGCCCCAGCCCCTGTGGGGTCGGTGGGACAGTCAGACAGTCAAGTGCCAACTCCTGCGTGGGGGCTACTTTCATTGCCATTTATAATGGGAGTTGAAGAGGGGAATAGGTAACCGTGAAGCTCTGGAGATGGGGAATGGGCCAGCCTTTTTATAAGAGAACAGTGTTGTGTTAGAGTTTTTCTCTGGGTGTAGATGTTTTTATGTTTCTTCGGACACTGTGACACATTCGAGTCTGGGAAATTATATAACAATATATTCTATTTCATGGCTTCCCAAAACTATGGCAAGTACATTATTGCATCTTTAAGTTACAAATCATATTTACTACCAAAAGTAAACAATACATTGAAACCCCTCAGTCAGAGAAGATGTCTTAGAATTAGAAATTGGGAATTCATCTTAAGTCTTGTGGACTTGATTTACAAAGTTTCTAAAATGAGTCTTTATACTTTTCCTCTTTTTCTCCCATCCTCCTTCTCATTGTCCTTTTTTTCTTTTTTTAAATAATAGATATAATTGGCCTGTCAGGACTCATCACTCCTTCCCTGGATGAAATGATTTTCGTTGCCAAGGAAATGGAGAGATTAGCGATAAAGATTCCATTGTTGATCGGAGGAGCAACCACTTCGAGGTAAGTCAAGCTAATGAGCTTTATGCTTCCCTTTAAATTCTCTTAAATGCCTGTGTTTACAATCAGTGATGAAACCTGGGTTCTTTTCTCTTATGCTTAGTACATTGGCTCCATATTATATAAACACATGAACTTTCGGTCTTCACTCGGAGAAGAGCCAGAATATTTTGGGAGCATGCTGTAGGAAACTCCTTGGTGATCTCCCTACCATTTGCCTTTTTTTGGATTCCTTTGACTTGCAGTTGTCTGTTCCTTAATCCTCTAACCTCCCATTCAGTTCTTGAGATTTCTAATGAACACTTACTCCTCTTGAAATCAAACTGAGTGGAGAAGCTGTGTATTTTGGCACAAAGACATTGCTTGAACTTCAGCTCACTCTCTATCTTGAAGCAGGTGTCTGACTGAATAATCATAGGTTCCCTTGAAGAGACTCTGACCTTGTAACAGTTGAGACAGAAAGCCAACCTAGCAAGAATGAAGCAAAGGATTGCTTTGGAAAGTTGTTTTTGAAAACTTTGGGTTAAACAATTTAAAAAGGAGAAAGTTCAAATTTGGTCACATAATCATTAGTTTGTCAGATTTTTCCTGGGGTCATGGTCATAATGATATTTGGTGAGAAATATGTTAATTATGGTATTAGACTTTTTATGACGCATTCCTTGTGCCCCATATAGTTCACTTTGGCAGGAAATAATACCCAGGTGGAGCATTGAACTTGATCCCACAAGCATACAGTTTATTTTTCTGATATAAAAATACAATAAGGGTCTGGTCAGATATATTCCAAAGTTCCTTTCGTACTGGAAATAACTGTATGTTAAGCCATTTGTATTAGTCAAATTTATCCAGAGAAATGGAATCAATGGAATGTGTGTCTGTATATATACATGGGGGGGGGATTTATTTTAAGGAATTGACTCATGCAATTATGGAGGCTGGTAAGTCTGAAATCTGCAGGGAAGGTCGGCAGCTGGAGACCAGTCAAGAGTTGATGTTGCAGTCTTCAGTCCAAAGGCAGTCTGGAGGCAGAAGTCCTTCTTCCTTGGGAGACTTCAGTCTTTTCTCTTAAGGTCTTTAACTGATTGGATGAGGCCCATACACATTATGGAGGTTAATTGGCTTCACTCAAAATCTACTGACTTAAGTGTTAATCACATCTAAAACATACCTTCACAGAAACATCTAGATTGGTATTTGACCAAAAACTGGGTCTCATGGCCTAGCGAAGTTGACACATAAGATTAACCATCATCCCGTTTATCATTTATAATCTGAATGGATCATTTTCATGAGTAGTCATAGTATCATATGTCATTTATCCACTAATTGCTTTTCGTACTTGAAGGACTTAATAGTGTGGCTGTTGTTGCTCACTTTAGAAAACTGGGTTTATTTTTCCACAAAAGACTATCCACTAGGATATGTGGCAGATTGTTCTCCAGGGATATGACCAACCATTGATAACTGGGGTGTCAATGAGCATGGTCTTGGGTAATTGATGGTTGTAGTGTGAATATTTGTTAGCTTAGTAAAGAGAATGGTAAGAGAATCTATAGACTATTGTCAGAATGAAATACCTTTTAAAATCACAGTTGTAAAATAGAATAAATAAATATTGAAATGATCAGACGTAATGAAATGCATTATGAGTTATGTAAATGTGATTCTAGTTTCAAAATAAGAACCATTTTATATGGTAGGACACTACACTCAGAAATTCAAAATCAGGAAACCACATATTGCTACTTGTGCAAATTGGAACATTACCAAATAGTCCATTCTGTTATACCTCTTACTGTGTAAGAGCCACCAGATTAAAGAGGGGTTTTTTTTTTTTTTGTGAGGAAGATCAGCACTGAGCTAACATCTGATGCTAATCCTCCTCTTTTTTCTTTTTGCTGAGGAAGATTGGCCCTGAGCTAACATCCGTGCCCATCTTCCTCTACTTTCTATGGGACGCCACAACAGCATAGCTCTACAAACAGTGCGTCGGTGTGTGCCCAGGATCCGAGCCGGCGAACCCCAGGCCACCGCAGCGGAGCGCGTGCAGTTAACCACTTGCGCCACTGGGCCAGCCCCTAAAGAGGTTTTTAAAAAAACATTCAGAAGCAACATGACTAGCCTCCCAAGAAACATCATTGGCAAAATTAGCCATAAATGACTCTATAACCTGGTATATCAAGTTAGAAGTAATCAGATCAGAAATCAGCCACCGTCTTTTCATGCTATTGCAAAATATCTATTCTCATCATCTGGGAAGCTGTGAATGTGTGCCTACCCAAAGGCAGAAAGCTGGGTCCCCTGACCTCCCATGGTTTCTTCCAACTCTCCAGTGCTTTGTTTCTCGGTGATCCCTGCCTTTTCTGGTTCTATTCTCTTTCATGCCTGTTAGAGTCTCTGGGAAATTATTTGGAAAATAAAAGCCAGTAGCAGTGCTTCCCGGTAACCATCCCCTTCTCCATTGTGGTGCTAGAGCAGCGCTCGCAAAACAGGTTCTCATACAACCTTCAAGAACTTCAGTGTAAAATTCCCCTGTTCTGACTCCATTCTAAAGCAGTGACAGTGGGTGAGGACTCAGACCTGGAGTCTTGCTTCATCAAGCCCTCTTATTTAAGTAAGCACTTTTACCGAAGTATAACGGCCATACAGAAAAGGACACAAATCATAGATATACAACTTGATGAATTTTTACAAAAATGAACCCACCCGTGTAACCACCCCCAGATCAAGAAATAGAACAGTAACAGCACTCTGGGAACTTCACGGGCTACCCTACCTAGTCATCCTTTCCAACAGAAGGAATCTCTGTTCTCGCGTCCGTCACCATAGGTTGGTTTTGCCTGCATTTCAACTTTGTATAAATGGAATCCTATTGTATGTATTCTTCTGTGTCCGGTTTCTTTTGCTCAACATTATGTCTGTGAGGCCTAAACTTATTGTGACAGTAGTTGGGGTTTTTTTCCATTGTGGTATAATATTCCATTGTATAATATACTATGGCTTATTTATCCATGCTACTGTTGGTGGACATTTGGGTTTTTCCAGTTTGGGGCTATTACACAGAATGCTGCTGTGTATGTATCTCTGCCCTGAAGCAAACTGGCTGGATCATAAGATATGCATATGATCATCTGCATCAGATATTGCTGAGTAGTTTTCCAAAGTGGTTGTATTAATTTACACTCCCACCGGCAATTACAAGAGTTCCAGTTATGCTATATCCTTTTCGATTTTACCATTTTAGTGTGTATGTAATAATAACTGACGTGGTTTTCATTTCTATTTCTCAGCTCACTAATAGTGTTGAGTACCTTTTCGTATGTATATTGACCATTTGGATATGCTTTTTAACTCTTTTTTTGCTTTTCTAAGTCTTTTTTTTAAATTGAATATTCTGCCTTTTTTCTTATTGATTTGTATGCATTCTCTATATTGGATACGAGCCCTTCATGAGAAATATATATTTTAAGTAGATTCTTCCAATATGGTTTGCTTTTTGCTGTCTTAGTGGTATTTTTGGGTAACAAAAGTTCTTAACTTTTATGAAGTCTGATTTATCAGTCTGTTCCTCTATGGTTGGTGCTCTTTGCATCTGAATGGGAAAGCCATCTACTCCTGGGAGAGTCAGCTTTGCTAGAAAGCATACAGGGGTTTGAATGTCTCAGAAGCCCTCTGAGAGCCCTTATTATTACCTCCTCTGACCTATTGAGGGCTCAGCGGTGTTCCAGTTCTTTCCTTTGCTAACTGTGTTGAGCAGATGGCAGCTCAGGTTGTCATGAAAGCAGGTCTCTGAGGGGATATAACATAACGACATGGCTTTTCCAGACTTCAGTGGCCTGCAGTAGCGTGATAGAATTAGAACTGTACCCCCAGACGCTTGAAATGAAGCTTAAGGCTATCTAGTAGATGGATCCTTGGAGAGGTTGAAAGGGTTATACAGATTTTGGAGTCATTTCTGGGTGGAAATATGCTTGGAATGTCCCTTTTTAACCCGTGGCTATAAGCCAATAGAACACTGAATATTCTCCTGTCTGTAATACAGATGGTTTTGATATCACAAACTAGAAATGCCTTTAATGGAACTCTGGTCCTGTTAGCTATAGAACTTCTCAAGGACACAAGTCTGGCAGTTAACTCTCAATTTTTCACTGGTTTAAAGCCAATAACTGCAAAATGTCTTTTTCTGTTATTTTTTGTGAATAATGGAGAATTCAATAGGAAATCACATTGCTCAAAGCTAGAGGTAATTTTCTGAGTTTTTAAAAAAGTTCTTAGGAAGTACAGTGCTGAATCACATAACTGATATTATTTTCCTCTTTGAATTGACTTCAGGGAAGCTTAGAGCTCAGGTCTGTTTACAGGATTTCATGGAGTAAATTTTATATGCTGATCCCACTCCTGATTGCATCTTAATTTTCCCATCTTTATCTTCTCTTTCTCTCATTTTTCTCATCAAATTTAAGTTTTGGTCATGCTGCATTTATGTAAAACACTTTAAATTAATTCTGGGATAGGATAGGATATGAAATAAATGCTTCGAGTACTTGTTCTTTTTCATAGTTTGTAAAAAGATCCTCCAAGGTTAATGCTATCTTGCCCATCTGGCAAGTAGGGGAGGTGACTAATTAAATCCTATTTGATGAGTGGCTTAACAGAGATGGATTTGAGATTCAGCCTCAGTGTCTAGCCTTTTGCTCTTGGTATGGAAGACAGGGAGGAGAGATTCCAATGTTTTCCATCTTTTCAGACTTGAGAAAGAAGTCTTCTTCCAGCTGGAGAACCTTGCATAAATGGAAGCTTAGAAGAAAGTGGAATCAGTGTCATAATAACTTTATAAGGAAACAAAAAGCACTCTCAATGGCTGAGCAAGCTCAAATTTCATGGCTGTGCTCATCTAGCTTTGTAATTTTTATGTTAGAAAGCAGCACTTTGCTTTTATTTATTTATTTATTTGTTTATTTATTTTAAATAGTGGAATCCATCAGTTCCTTCTCAGTGCCCTTGTCCAGAAGATCATCAAAGAGACAGTGGCCAGAACTGCACTAAGAACCCTTGGATGCTTAATAAGTACTAATTGTGTTGATTTTAAAATTTAAAATTGTACTGGTTCTCTTTAAGAGAAATGTCGTCTAAGTCACATCAAGCTTGAGATAATGTTTCCTGGAGGCATTTCCTGCAGAATATACAGTAGGCGTATATTCGTGTACTCAAGAGGCTGACCGTCTGAAGAAGAGGAAGCAAGCAGAGCCTGACTTGTGTTCTATTTTGAAACTAGAAACAGCTTCTTCTCTATAACTTTTCCTACTGTTTGAAAATCTTTCCCCTCATAGAATACCCAAGACATCTTCAAATCTTTGGTCCCCAAGCCCACCGTGGGCACAAAACATGTCGTCAGGAAGCAGTGGAGTGTTTGGCTGTTCCAGGGCCATGTTCTGGCCCGCCCTGTGCTCTGCACCCTGAACCTCCCAGCCCAGAAGACCTCTCTTGCACTAACTAGCTGAGGCCTGAACTTCCATCTCATAGGTCAGTTCTTGTGGCTTATGGCTTTAGTCCTTTGCTTCCTATTCATGTACAGAGATACACTTAGAAAGGGGACAGGTGAAATGTTAGTGGTCTTGTCTGTCTCATTATGAATGAATTTTTAGAGCCTTCCCTGAGAAGCCTGTTAAAAACACACTGACACGTGTATTGCGTCTTTAATATTCTCTTGGTTTTTAAAAATTACCTTGGTAGTCCACGCTTACTAGAACATGCCAGTTCAGAGGAATGTAAAGCAAAATTTAGTCTCTCCCTTCCCACTTTCAATCCTACCTCCAACCTCCATATACCCAGTATTGACACCTTGATGTGTATCTGTCTGTGTTTTTTCTAAATATACAGAAACTTATATATAAGGTTGGTTGGTTGGGGCAGATTGAGGGTGGTAGTGTGTGTTTTTCAAAAAATAGAATTGTGGGCCGGCCTGGTGGCGTGGCGGGTAAGTGCGCGCGCTCCGCTTTGGGCGGCCCGGGGTCATAGGTTCAGATCCCGGCGTGCACCAACACACCGCTTGTCAGGCCGTGCTGTGGCGGCGTCCCATATAAAGTAGAGGACAATGGGCATGGATGTTGGCCCAGGGCCAGTCTTCCTCAGCAAAAAGAGAATTGGCATTGGATGTTAGCTCAGGGCTGATCTTCCTCACACACACACACAAAAATAGAATTGTCTTAAAAATACTGTTCTTCCACTTTGTTTTTTCGTCATATAATAGCATATTCTGAATGTCTTTCTAAACAAAAGTGCATTTTGGTTGAGGGAAAGAATATGAAAGTATCTGACTTGGGGAAGATTGCTGCTGCTTTAGGGGAGAAGAAGAGACTGGAAAGCACTGCCCGTCTTGTGGGAACTGCTGTTGCCACCCTTTTACGTGAATTGTGGCAAAGTCCACACTTCTCTCCCATCCTCAGGGCCCTGGTGTAACTGCTGTAAGGGAGGGCATATGCATTTTCCCTTCTCACTTTAGCGTTATGTTCTATAATGAAACAGCAGATATGTAGCCTATGCTGTTGCTATAAACATCCACTAATCAGAGGGTAATTTGTTTTGCACTTTAGTTAATTAGGTAATTTTAAGGATTAAAGGGTATTTCTTCCTCAGTACTGACATTTTCAAGTTTGGCAATAAGGATTTGGGGCTGAGCCAATGTTAGTATAAAATATTTTTGTTGCTTTCGCCTTCCTGTGTTATTTTGTATTGAATTTATTGAGGGTCTGAGGTTCCTTCTTACAAGTACAAGGTGGGGTTGAGGCTGGGAGTGGTGGTGTCTCCCAGGAACATGGAGCAGCAGCTAGAGAGTGGTGTCCTGTGTCCCCGGCCTAGTGTCTGTTCCCCAGGGGCCCTGGCTGGTAGCCCAGCTCATTTGGAGGAAGAAATTCAACTTGACCTGTATGACAGCAAAGTACAATTGCCTGGGCTGGTTAGCTCCCTTAGTTCAGACAGGCTGCTAATGACTGTGAGGTCACAGGCTCGTCCCCCGCTGGCAGAGAGCCAAGGACACAGTCTGTCTCATTTTCTCACAGACTTGTTTGTAGCCTGGGCCAACAAATCCTTGTCTTTTCCCCTTGGCTTCCCCACGTTAGGGTAAGGAGAAAGTCATTCTGGTTTTACAAGAGAAATTTGAAGTTCAACATTTGTAAGTACCTTGAAATCTTTCTCTGCAAAGGACTGTAGAAACACATTATTTCTAATGGTTCCCAACAAGAGTTGTGTAAGAACTGTCAGCACTGATGGACGTGTTTTTCTTCCTGACCCCTCGTTTCAGAACCCACACAGCAGTTAAAATAGCTCCAAGATACAGTGCGCCTGTAATCCATGTCCTGGACGCATCCAAGAGTGTGGTGGTGGTAAGTGTGGGCCTTAACGTTATTTCAGATATGCTGTAAAGAGAGAACAAAGACAGCACGAAGGGTTAAGGGTATCGCCCAAGACCTTCTGTTTATTTTTGTCCCATTCTACTAAAAAAAAGTGAAAGAATAGCATAGGGCTTATGGTAGTGTCATTGCAGTTGTCTGCATCGCTGGAAGGAGGGCCGGGTGAGGGCCAGTGTCCTGTGTTTTCAGACCACTTCCTGAACCAGCAGCAGAAATGCTGGCCTGATAACAGAGGAATGGTACCAAAGACGCCTTTGACCTTGACACCAACCCAGAGAAAGAGATTTCAGCCATTTACAAGTATTTACAAATATGCATGTACACTTTCTTAGCTCCATGCCAGAGCTAAAAAGAAGGTAGAATTTTAAAAAATAACCTATTTCCAGATAGAAAAACATTTAACCTGGAATGGGCCGGTTGACCCTACCCAAAGACAGAAAAACCTTCACCAGATGTTAAAAAACCCAGAGCAGTAGATTGTTTTTCTCAGTGAATGTAATAAACAACTTACCTAAGTGTTTTTTCCTCATCGGTGAAGCTTCATATCCTCTCTTGTTACGTGTTTCATTATTTTCCTTGAAAAATAGGATATAATAGCTGGAGGGAACCTGAGTGACTATGTGGTCCAGTGGTTTCCAGGTTTGTTTTAGCCATAGAAACCTTGTTTTCAAGTGACGTCTTACCTGGAAACTCAGTATGGTACAAATAAGAGCAGCCCCTTCCATCCTACATCCAACTCCTAGTTCTCATCAAAAGAGCGCAATTTAAAAACCACTAATCTAGTCCAGCCATCAGAGTTTGCAGGTGAGAAAGGTTACTGAGGGGGCCCAGTGATTTGTGAGACCACTTGGTGATATCATGCAGCCTGAACTAGGGTGACACCACATTTCCTCAGCCATTTTCCAAAGGAATTCTGTCAGATCTGTGAATTTATTTATGTGAAAGTTACACAATAATTGCTGACATTATTAAAAATGTATAGTGTGCCAGGCACTGTACTAAGTGGTTTACATGGATTTTTTATTTCATCCTCATGAGGTAGATACTTGCACTGTCCCCGTTGTAGAGATGAGGAAGCAGGAGTGAAGAGGTTAGTAGCTCTCTGAGGCCATGCATCCGTCAGGTGGCAGGTGTGGGATTTGAAGGCAGGTGGTCTTAATGCTACATTCAACTTGCTCCCATGAATTTAACGATTCTCCTTTATTAAAAAGGATGAAATTAAATCAGGCTGGAATCATAAAAGTGCAATTTTTTATTTGCCATTGACATAGACTAATGTGCAAATAAACTACGTTTCTACAACTCAATTTTAAAACAACTTTTGTATCTTATATTTGGATTGTGCTTCATAAGGAGCTTATACAGGTCCATGGTTGAGTAAACACTGGGCTTCTTTTTAAGGCTTGTTGCTGTTTTCAAATGCTAATGAATGACTCCCAAAGTTGCCCGTTTGGAGACCAGGCAGTTGGACCCATGTAAGGACACAGTGGTAACGTTGCCCCTACAGGCAGGAGAAGGACTTTAGCTGGGAAGGAGTCGGCCTCTTGATCCCATTCTGAGGACGGACTCCTTCACCTTCTTGAAGAGCTACAGCAGCCTGGGCCTGGCTGAAAGCAGAGGATGAGGTGTGGGCATTTGTGCTCTTTACAGCCTGGTCCAGCCAGGCAGCCAGCGAGGGTTAGCTCTGCTCACACACAAAGAAACCGCCTCCCTTTGCAATTACTCAAACCTAAGTCTGATGATAAATCATTTGGGTAATTGCTAGTGACACTTTTCAGGAGTCGGTGGTACAATTTGTTAGGTTGGCTGTTGGTTCAGAGCCTTTTGGTCCAACTGCAGTGAGAGTGGCACAGGCCCAGGCTCCAGCTAACCAGCTTGTGAATTTGAAAGATTCCAAAATGTGACAACTAAATAATAGCTGGAAATTTAGACCTGAGGATGCCTCTTGCTTTCTTTTCTTTCTTTTTAAATAAAAAACAAGGTGCCAGTATTATTTCTTTTTCAATTATAAAATGTGTTTTCAACTTATTCCTTCTCATTGAGCTGTGATTGCACATGAGAAATAGAAAATAAAAGAAGGAAAAGAAAATCTGTACCATGTCTGGGTGGTTGGCATGAAAACACATAATGGACTCTGATTTTGTGGAAGGGTCACGTCGATTAGCCCATATAATTGGCCATGAACTTGTTTCCATCAAGCAAGTCTGATTGGGCAAGGAGAGGTTTATCACTGTGGCTCTGGGACCAGGGGGCTCTATAGGGGTGTGAAAGTGCCAACAAACTAGTGGAATGTTCTGTCTATCCAATAGTACCTGTGTCAGGGTATTGTTAAGTTCTTTGGGTGTTAAGGAAATCAGGGTTTTGCTTTCTCAGGGTTTAAAATCTAGCAGAATGTAACAGTATTTTAAAACGTTGGTTACATGTACTTTGGGGAGCTCAGGAGCAGGCCTCCCCTTCTTGTCTTCATTTAGCTCTGCTGGGTTTCTTAAAGGGGGCTCCACTGAGGTAAGGTTAATGTAAGGCTGGGAAATACTTTGTGGTGGTGTGAATACCATTTGGGAGCCACTGTTTAGGCTTGCCACAATGGCCCTTCCTGATTATGTTCCTTAACAAAGCAATTTGGTTTTATCCTAACTCATAGGTGATTGGATTGTAATTAGAGATACTTAGTAAATTCAGATAGAATTATAGATATTTAAAGCTGGTAGGCATTTTAGCCATCATCCAGTATAACTTCCTCAATTTCAGTGATGATACTGAACTTCCCTGCCTTTTTGTGTGTTAGAAAATCCTGCTGGAGGATGCAGAGATGGGGCTGTGGGTTTTGAACTGATGTGATCAGTACAGCCATTTCATATTTCTTTGTAATTTTAGCTTTGGTGGTAGCTATTCTTCTACTAACTTGATAATCATAGTCATAAACAATATTTAGCTGATCCTAGTTTTACAAGTTACTGAGTGGCCTCACATTTCTCAGATGATCTGTTTCCTTTCTTACTTTAGCAGAAGCTCATGGTTGGCTGTGATCAGGCTCATTCCTTCAGCAAACATTTAGTAAGGATGTGCCTGTACGTGCCAGGCACTGAGCTAGAAACCAGGGACGTGAAGGCGGTGTCTTCTAGTCAGGGAAGTAGATGCATAGTAAGTGCGGTGATGGAGAGTGAACAGAGTATCTTTGGAACACTGAAGAGGAAGGGTGTAGTGGGTCCCCAAGACTACCCTCAGTTTCAGTGATTTGCTTGAAGGACTCACAGAGCTCAGAAACGCTTGTTGTGCTCACAATCATGGTTTATTACCACAAAAGGATACAGATTAAAATCAGCAAAGGTGAAAGATGCGTGGAGTGGAATCCGGGAGAGACCGGGCATGAGCTTCCAGGTGCCCTCTCCTGGTGGAGTCGCATGGACAGCGCTTGATTCTTCACTAGTGATGTGTGACAACGTGTACAGAGCATTGCCAGCCAGGGAAGCTCACCTGAGCCTTGGTATCCCGGGCTTGTATTGGGAGTCAGTCACGTAGGCGTGGAATACTCATTCTTCAACCCCTCCAGAGGTCAAACAGATACAGCATGAGCGAAGTCCCACCATAAATCACATAGTTAACGTAAACTATCTAGAGTGGCCCAAGGCCCCAGGTAGGCAAAGACACTCGTATCAGACAGAACTGACCGGGACTGCACATGTTTTATCTTCTTTGCTGCTCCGTGATGATTGAATGCTGATCTTGCATTTTCAGTGTTCTCAGCTATTAGATGAGAATCTAAAGGATGAATACTTTGAGGAGATCATGGAAGAATATGAAGATATAAGACAGGACCATTATGAGTCTCTCAAGGTAAGTGGCAAAAACAGGTCCCTGCTTGTTTGGGTATTAAAATGATCCTACAGTTTTTAATATGACTTTACTGTTTTGAGGAGGTAAGGCTTAGGATCCATCTAGAGAAGTCCTGTTTTCTAGTTCAAATCAGACTTCTTCAGTGTCTAAATTCCCAATAATTTTTGGTTATATTAAAATTAATTTTATTTATTCTGCCCAACATTTATTGGGTGCACAGTAGGTGTTAGGTGCTGTGCTAGATAGATAGCAGAGTTATGAGAATGTATAAACATGAGCTCATCCCCAGCAGGGAAACAGGAACTGAAACAGTGTACTGAAATGACTCCCACAGATCCTGTTCTTGAGGAAATAATGGGAGAAGATGAAGACATTAGACAGGACCATTGTAAGCCTCTCTCTCTGATTGCCCAGCACTGACTGTGCAAAGTAATGTGTCAGGGACTGTCCCTGTCTAGATAAGCTCCAGGGAATCCATGGAGAGTGGGCATAATTATTCTGCAGAAGCCTTTGGGATATTTCTCCCTGGTTATCTGCTTGCTGGGCTTTGTCTGGGGTCGGGGGGCTGCATTTTGGAGGTGGGTAGGCAAGTGGAATGAGATAACAAACAGCAAGAAGACAACAGATGTTTCTGAGGTGTTGGCTTTCCCCCTCCCCTTAGGTGTGCCTACAGTTGACAGTTTCTTAGTTCTGCCTTCTGGTCCTCAGGGCAGTCGATGGCAGGCCAGTTAACCTGGTCTCAGGTATTCTGAAAGTATAGGCAGGGGACCACTCCATGCCATGCTTATCCCACGGCGAAGGCTGCAGGTCAGCCTTATGTTTACATATAAATATTCAGTGGATATTTAATGAATCTTCATTGTTCTGGTGCTTATGTGAAGCCATATTGGATGGGAAAGGAACAGCTTTTTAGGAAATGAATTTTTATTAATAAAAGCATTTGTTTTCTTGTAAAACTTATGTACTAGCTTTCTTGGACATACTTCTGTGGTAGCAGCTGAAAAGCTAAGATTCTCTGACTAAATAACTTTTCTTTTTTTCATAGGAGAGAAGATACTTAACCTTAAGTCAAGCTAGAAAAAACGGTTTCCATATTGACTGGCTGTCAGAGCCTCACCCAGGTCTGTCTGGCTATCGGTTAGAGAAAGGCTACGTGTGATAACTGTCAGCTGAAGAGACGTTTGCATTTACTTGGCTAGAGATCAAACAGGCAGCTAGAAACTCTTAATTGTGTCTAATGATGATGAATGACAATGATTGAAAATAAAAGTAAACAGGTACTGTTTATGGAGGACCAAACACTGTCCTGAGATTGACCCACAGCAGGTCCGAGCCCTTGACACAACTCGGTAATGAATGTGCTATTATCCCCACTTTAATTTGAAGAAACTGGGTTTCAGTAATAACTTGACAGGTTACTAGGATTCTATCTCTGATCTGTCTTCTAAACCTATGTGTTTTCCTCTGTGCTGTGCTTGAGTGGACCCCCTTCAGCTTGGAGCAAGTTCTAGAAACCTACCTGGGTGGTACTGTCACTGGGTTGGCCTGGGTCCCAGGCAGGCCCAGGTGCAGATGTGGAATGCCTGAAATTGAAAATGCCTTCGTGTTGAACAAACTTTGAAATCATTTCAGCAAAGCCGGGTCTCCTGTTCACTCTCTCATTCTCTCTCTGAATGCTTCTCTCTTTTTATTTATTTTATTTGGTTTCTTCCCTTTCTTATTTCTAGCCACCTTTTTTTGCCTTGCACAGGTGTTCACGAGGGAATAAAATGTGTAAGATGTTTTGACAGTCTCAGAGAGGCATGAGATACAAATGCAAAACTAAGACAGGGTGAAGAGGGGTTGTATTAATTGAATCCGTATTTCCAAGGTAATACCTCAAATCAGCTTTCATTGCTCACGACATCTATGTTCTGCACATGCTCAGCAGAGTTTAGAGGATTAAATTGGAAATGTAGGTGAGCTTGGTTCTAATTTCAGTCCTGCTGGGTTCAGTGTGGTTTAGTGGGAAGAATGCAGGTTGGGAGTTGGGAGGCCTGAGTTCTAATCCCAGACTTGGCTCCTGGCTCTGAATCACCGAGTGACCCCGAGCATCTTACTTCTGTGTTTTACAGTTTCTAATGTATAAAAAAGGAGTGAGTTTATGGAAAAGTGAGGATAAAATAATACGTGAAAACCTTTGAAAGATATAAACCACTATATAGTCCCAACTATTATTTTCTCTTTACCATTCACTATGAAATTGGAAAAGATCACAAGGGGAAGTCCGTTTTAACTGAGTCAAACTTCCACAACACATCTTGGTGCAAATAGTCCTCTGAGGCCCACAGCACCAGGCAGTGGGGGTGACACTTTTCGAGTGGCAGTTTTAACCCCCAGCGGGGCCTTTGCAAGGCTCTGGACCTGCTGCCTGAGGGACACTGACGCACTGGGGTACGGCCCTCAGAAATGTTTTTGAGAGCAACACAGTCTTAGGGTAGTGGCAGGAAGTCAATAAAGGGAGGAAGAAGGGTTCTTCTCCAAGATCTCCAAAACCTCAAACAAGTCTAACCTCTGGAAGACAAGCTTATTCAGGAACAGCATCCATCAGTGACTCTGCGGCAGTGCATTTTTCCCTGCCTTTCAAGCAAGAGGAAATTTTCATCAGGAGGGTGTATGTAGTTTATTTTTTTTCGCTGAGGAAGATTTGCCCTCAGCCAGCATCCGTGCCAGTCTTCCTCTATCTTCTAGTATGTGGGCCTCCAGCACAGCGTGGCTGCTGACAGCGTTGTAGATCTGTGCCCAGGAACGGAACCCGCGCCACCGAAGTGGAGTGCACTGCACTTAACCACTAGGCCACCAGGCTGGCCCTGTAGTTTCTTTTTAGTTACCAAACAAATCAGCGTAATAGAATATTCACAAGGAAGGGATTGTCCCACGTGGTAAACAGATGACCAGGAACAAATGAGAAAGAGTTACTGTGAACATGTATGAAAAGGTAGAGATTTCAAGGCAAAATTAAGAAGCTGCTCATACTTTTCTCTTCCAGTGCTTTCACCTCTCACTTTTAGTATCCGATGAGAGAGAAATACTCTTGAGACTTATCCCAGAGCCCCTGAGATTCCCAGTGTAGTATAAGTTCTTTGATCCCTATTTACAGATCAGGAAACTGAGGACACGAGGGCCAGGAAGCTGGCCGCAGAGTCAGCCCCTCAGACTCTGACCTGACCCCAGCGTGGGCGTGGTAAGGTGGGCACGGTGTTGCTGCTCTTCGTGTCCAGAAAGCCCAGTGGCACCGTCTGTCTCTGAAGTCTTCACCATCATTTATCACGTGGTGTATTTTAGGCTCACGAGGAGCTGTAAAGAACAATGTACTGAACATCCGTGTATGCCCACTAACCACTTAAGAAATGCCCTACTGCCCGTTTTAAAAAAGCAAAACAGGAGTGCATAGGTAGTGGAAGTCCCCTGTGTCCCTCCCTCCCTGCACTGTCCTGAGTGTGGTGCCTCGTTGCCATGCGCTTCCTTATACTTGGACTAGGTGCATGTGTATCAGTAGGCAGTACAGATTCTTGTTTCATGGGTGTAAACTTTACCTAAGTGGCTTACTATATTTGTCGTTCTACAGTGGTCTTTATTTTAGATTGTCTTCATTTGTACAAGTGAAGATTAACCCAAGTCTTTCTTTTTGCTAGGGCGGGGGGTGGGGGTGGAAGGGTTGAGGGAAGAGTTTCCAAGGGCAGTGTAGTCAGTCAGCTGCATGGGAAGAATGGTTTTATTTAAGATTTGCTGGAGAATTACTCCTTCTCCATGATAATTTAAAGTTCCCCTCTTTGTAAAACAACTCCCACGGGTGACAGGAGGGAAGCAGAGCGTGGGTGCCAACAGAGCAGGAGAGAGCCGGCCAGGAAGGCCTCCAGTAGGCAGCACTGTGTGTGAGGGGTGCTTGGCCCAGGCCCCTGGTGTTAGTGTTGACAATGGTGCTTCTTTCCCATAGTGAAGCCCACATTTCTTGGGACCCGGGTCTTTGAAGACTATGACCTGCAGAAGCTGGTGGACTACATTGACTGGAAGCCTTTCTTTGATGTCTGGCAGCTCCGGGGCAAGTACCCGAACCGAGGCTTTCCCAAGATATTTAACGACAAAACTGTAGGTTAGTTCATTAAGTCCTTCCTTCCTGCTCTGGTACCGAGACATAGTCTGGGACTTTGAAGCTGAGAATAAGTGGTGAGCAGTGGGTGTGGATTATGTAGAATATCGTTTATTGTTATAACATAATGTATTATAGGATATTGTTTGCCTGCTCAGCTCATCATTGGTTTTTAATTGCTAAGTTGGTCCTTATGTATGAACTACATTTGGCATTTCTGTTTATCCATTATTTTAATAAATATTTATTGACAACAGTTACATGCCGGGCTCTTGCTGGGCACTGGGAATAAACAAAAGGAAGCCATATAACCCCTGCCCTCTGGGACCTGGCTAGCTGGTGCAGCCACAGTTACAGGTGATTCCCATACAGGATGCTGAGCTCCTGCCACGGGGCTGACCCCAGGCTTCTGTGGACACAAGATGAGATAGACCTCAGACTAGGAGACAGGGCAGGCTTCCTGGAGGAGGTAGTGTTTGAAGTGCTTTTAGAAGATTATGTGGGAATTACTGATGCTGGGACTGGGAATGTGAGATGGCATTGAAGAAAAGGACATTCCAGGCAGAGAAGACAGAGTATGAGAAGGCAAAGACACATGTGCTGATTTGGGGACCTGCAAGGAGTCCATTGTGCCTGGAGCATTGGTGGGGGGAGGGGGACTTGAGGCAATAAGCTAGAGAAGTGGTGAGTCAATAAACTGCTAGCCCCACTTCTCACTTCTAACCCTGCCCCCAAAACCTACCTCAGAGACATGGGATCAAAGTACTAAACCATTCAAAGGATTAGGTAATAGCTAGATTAGAGCAAGGTGGTGAGGTGGACTGGCAGAAGTATGGGATTAGGGCCAAGAAGAGCCTGACATACAGAGTTGGAAGCCAAGAGGAGGGTGTGCGGGAGCTTGGCTCCCACTGTGCAGGTGAGAACTTGCAGGAGCCCCTAAACTGAGGCCATCCGGGTGCAGCACTGAAGCCACTTAAGAGAGGTTGGGGCCGCATTTCACCCTCAACCTGTTCACATCCCCAGAGTCACTGTGAGGTCAGTGGAGTTAAATGTGAACGAGGAACGTCGGTGACAGAAGGATTTGGCCTGCTTTGTTTCACTCTCTGTCTGACAGACTGCTTTGGGGAGCCACAGATTTGGCTCTCTGCCTTTTGTTAAATGGAAAAATTGAAGTGGCTTGAGCTGGGGAAACAGGCTGTGGGAGCTGCACTTAGCAGGAACCACTGAACCCTTAGCTGTTCCTTCAGTTGTGCTGATGACAAACACTGATAAAGTATTTGAGGGGAAAAGAGACGAGTGAAGAGAGAAAATGACTGAGGAAGGGTAGTGGTTTTAAAAGAAGCATTCTTTGCTGGTTATTATTGGCATCTTTAAGTGAATTCTTATATTTCCTAAAAGGTGAAGAGGCCAGAAAAGTCTATGGTGATGCCCAAAATATGCTGAAAGCACTGATTAGTCAAAAGAAACTCCAAGCCAGGGGCGTGATTGGGTTCTGGCCGGCGCAGAGTGTCCAAGACGACATTCACCTGTATGCAGAGGACGCAGTACCCCAGGCTGCAGAGCCCATAGCCACCTTTTACGGGCTGAGGCAACAGGTACGGAGAGCCGTATTGACAGCAAACACTGCTTCTGCTTTTTGGTTTAAGCACTAAAAAAAAACGTAAGTAAATCTGAGCTTTGTATAAATGCTAGCTCTGCCCCACCTCACCCCAAATGACCCATCACAGGCCCGAGCGCAAGGCATTTGTGGGGACGATGGAGAGAAGGCGCCACATGGGTTTCGAGCCTGGGCCTCTCAGGCTCCAGCACAGAAGAGGTGTTTAATATTGTGTTGGACAGGTAGGGGAGAAACGTTGCTGCTGCCTCAGGTGGTCACAAACAGATGAACATTTACTTGTTCAAAAACACTGGTTTGCATACATGCCTATTATTAAAATAGGCTGGTGGCTCCCTTTCTCAAGGGGAAGACAGGCAGGAGCAAACATTGGCTGAATGTCCACCAGGTGCCAGGTGCTTAGTAGGGCGCGTGATGGACCGTCTTGTTTCATTTCCACACCGCCTTTTTGTCAGACAGTTGATGTTTCCATTCTACAGAAGAGAAAATGAAGGCTGCTGGAGATTGTGCTGAGTCCACAGCGTAGAGGGGAGAGCCCAGCCTGTCCGCACCCCGATGGCTCTGCCTTCACTGTGCCAGCTTCCTTGAGTATGATGAGAGCAGGCTCTTCTCAACACGGCTCTCTCTCATACGCCCCCACTTTTTAAAATGCAAAGATCATATGCCTGTCCCCTTAGCTGCTGTAAAAAAATAGTTGTCCTAATCAAGAATGGGAACCAGAATTCACCAATCATTAACAAAGGATTGTAGAAGATTATTCTTGCACAATTTCACTACCATTTTCAGTCATTCAAAAGTGATGGTATTGCTTTTAATTTTAACCACAATATAATTCATAGTGACATATTTTAACCATAACAACATCTGAAGTGATTCTGCAATTTGGGACATTAAAGATAACCATAACAAGCTAAACAAGGGCAGCTCCGTCCTTACTGTGTGCACTCAGGCTCAGACACCACAGAGTACCAGCCAGTGGGGTTCCGATGCTAAGATCCAGCCCCTCCTCACTAGGGACTTGGTGACTTCTCTTTTACATGTGTTACTAAGGCCAGAAACTCTTCCCTGACCCAGTTTTTCATCCTTCAAGTCCTGTATCTTCTGATTTCTTTTTATGTCCAGTACCATTCATGTCCAGGCAGTCCGTGACAGACTGTGTTAGGGCATTTAATATAATGACTTCTCAGTGTACATATGTTACGTACTCAGATACATACTTCTAAAGAGGTGCTTTCTTCCAGTACACTCTGGAAAATTCAGGCTGCAGCGACGTACTGCTCTGGGAGTCTTCTGTTCTGTGTGGGTCTGATCGCCGTCTCTTCTAAAGTGCCGTGGGACTCTGTGACCTGTCTCTCTTTGTGGTGCCAGGAAGCTTTGTGTCTGTCTCCCTCTGGCTTTTGTTAGCAAAGAACAGTTGATGGTCAGAGTACAACTGGAAAGCAGCTCCTCGCTGCATAGCTATCCCTGAGCTCTGTGACATTTCTCTGTGCCATTATCAAACACCTTCTTGCCTGCAGCCACTTAACCATTTGCTGTCCAGTGTCCATTAGGCTGTACATGGTTCCAGAGCTGGCAAGCAAATAGCTCTGAAGCTTCTGGCTTGGCCACTCCTTGATTAATTGCTCAGTCCTAAGCAGTGCCAGGGGAATAGTGGTCAAGGGCCTTGGTTGTGGTATCAGACCCCTGGGCCTGCCCCATCTGACCTTAGCTGGTTAATCAAGCTCTCTCTGCCTCAGATTTCGTGTCTGTAAGATGGAGCTTATGGTGTTACTTACTTCATAAGGTTCTTGAGAGGATTAAATTAGTTAATTCATACAAAGCACCAAGAATAGTGCCTGGCATATACTAAGTACTCAATAAATATTAGTTATTAGCTATTTACCTTTCAGCAAATATTTACTGTTTGTGAAATATGTGTGAGACCTTATTTGTCAGGTTAGTAGCAGGGGAGAGTCAGCCATCAGCTGAAAATGAAAAGCAGGCGAGGATGGGCACCTGGCCCTGCAACCCCTGGAGGGGTCGCAGAAGCAGATCATGCTGAACTCTCTGTCTGGTTTCAGGCCGACCTGGGATGTCCTTAGCTGTCTCCTGACCCACCACCTGTGGCAGGCAGCACGTGGCGCCTGTGTTGCTGACCCCGGCAGTTTATTGAACTGCTTCTATTGATGCAAAGTAGAGGCTTATACATTGAGTGCACCCTTTCAACATAACTTCAGAATTTAATGTTGATCTTGAATTGAAAACACATTTGGGGAAAAGTTTTTTTTTTTTAATATGAATGTTTAGGGCTCCAGTTCCCAGCACAGTACCTGTAGGCATTCAGAAGATGTTTGGTCAGTGTGTAAAAGAGCAAATTAATTGGTTTCTTGACTGTATATGTTGTGTCATGTCATATATTTTTTAAAATCTCATTTTATTTGCTTATTCAACAAATATTGATTGAATGCTCGCTATGTGTCAGGCACTATTCTAAGTGCTGGGGATGTAACAGTGAGCAAAACAGACAGACATCCCAGTGTGAAGCTTATATTCATTTGAAAATACTAGATTGCTCTTGACTGTGTGTTGGTGCCACGTCTATGCTGATGGTTCCTCCACCCACTCCTTGGATTTTAAGGCTGAGAAAGACTCCGCCAGCACAGATCCATACCACTGCCTGTCGGACTTCATCGCCCCTCTGCATTCGGGCATCCGTGACTACCTGGGTCTGTTCGCCGTTGCCTGCTTTGGGGTGGAGGAGCTGAGCAAGGCCTATGAGGAGGAGTGTGACGACTACAGCAGCATCATGGTCAAGGCGCTGGGGGACCGGCTGGCCGAGGTAGAGCAGCGGTGCACTGTGGCGAGAACCCACGACGGGTGCCAAAGGCTAAGCAACGCTTAGAATCAGTGTCTTTTTTTTTCTCCATGTCAGATGAGGCTGGCTTTAACATCACACATACTTTAAATCATGCATTCTTCAGTTGCTCTCACACATCATCTTTTGGGCAAAGAAAAACCTTCAACAATACCATAGCTGGTAGTCACCCTTAGAACCTTGACCTCTTTGCCTTAGTTCTGATGTCTCCCTTTGCTTGTTGTGAAGTGACATTTTCCTGAGGAGCCCAAAAAATTAAAAACAGATTTTTATTTCAGAGCTCCTCGTTCTAATGTTAGTATTCTCTGTAGATTCCTCATCTTCCTCTGCGTGGAATAGGGTAACCTGAGCCGTGGGGAGGTCCTCTCCCCTTTCCCTAACACTGGTCCCAGCTTGTCTTTCTGGCCACCGTCAGCTGTAGACTGACCATGAGGGAAGTGTTTAAGTTAAAAGGCCTACAGTCCTCAGATCACTGAATTTGATACTTCAGAGCCCAGGTTGAGGCCAAAATTGAGCAGCAGAGCAGCTAATGAAACTACAAATGAGTTGAGAATCCAGCCAGATTTTCCCTGGCTGTGATCCAGGTGAGGGAGGTGCTCTGGATGGCTTTGACTGAGGGGATGGAGGGGGCACTGATGCTGAGGGCTCTTGCCTCTGCCTAAGCATACCTCGTTCTGGGCTCCCAGGCCTTTGCGGAGGAGCTCCATGAAAGGGTCCGCAGAGAACTGTGGGCTTACTGTGGCAGCGAGCAGCTGGACATCACAGACCTGCGAAGGCTGCGCTATGAGGGCATCCGTCCAGCTCCCGGCTACCCCAGCCAGCCTGACCACACCGAGAAGCTCACCATGTGGAGGCTCGCGAACATTGAGCAGTGCACAGGTATGTGCCAGGAGGAGGCAAGTGCCCATCTTTCCTTATTGAATAGATATACTTTTATCAAAGTAATGGTGCATATGGTTAAAAATTTTTAAATATGGAAAGGCATATAATGAAATCATCCCTAATCCCATCCTTTCTCACTTCTAGCTATTTATTCTAATATCTTACCTCCACGTTACTGAATAGTAGTCTTACCGTCACCATTTTACCGTTTAAGATTTATCAATTTTAACTATTTTCTCTTAACCTCTAACCGATGGGAATTGAGCTACTCATACTAGCCTGTATGTCTCCTGCCCCATTTTCCTATTACAGGAGTGTTACTGTTTTTAATCTCTCCATTACTGACCTTTGTGACCTTTAGTAACATGTTTCACGTTACTTTCTCCTCCCATTGCTTATAGACAGTATCTCTGGACACTGGTTTTGCAGAACTCCCACCCGTCCCTGCAGCTCTTTTCTTTCTTTACTTTTACACTGTTATTAACACAATTAAGAATTTCAGTGGAATTAATCAAAAGCATGCCATCAACAATGACGAAGTTAGAGGAATCTGGATTTAAGTGAGGAACCACGAGGCTGTGTTGAATCTGGGAGTCATGAGATATAGATTTGAGTCCCGTTTCTGCCGTAGCTAGCTGGGTGATCTTTGGCGAAGCACTTAACCTTTGTGCTCCCCTTTTCCTTGTCCATAAAATGAATGGCTTAGACTAGATAGCCTTGATGTTCCCTTTGAGTTCTAAACTCCTAAGAAAAAGTATCTTTTCTTTGTAAGTACCGTTGTGGGCTCAGTCTTAGTGGAGCCCAACTGTTGGTCATCCCTGGTGGCATTGGCCCCACAGGAGCCCTTGGAGGTTCAGATGGTGCTCTCATTTCCAGGGTTGGAGCTCCTTGTCTGAGAAGGCCCAGGCATAGGAGCAAATGGGAGCCTCTGTAACTGATCGTGGAGGACTGGGGGTAAGAAGAGTATAGGGTGATCGTGGAGGACTGGGGGTAAGACTATAGGGAGTCTTTTCCAGGTCTGTCCCCCTAGGTTAGAGGAGCTCTGCGTGTCCTGAGTTTGTTCATCCCCTTGGCAGAAATTTGCTAGACGGGTCTGGTCACATCTTTCATGCTGTGTCATGTGTCCACCTACAAGGCATGAGTTCACTTTCATTCACTTGTTCAACAAGAGTTTATTGGGTGCTTGCCGACTGCCAGGTCCTGTGCTGGGCACTGCATGAATGAGCGTTTTCCCCGTGTTGCTCTCTCTAGGCATCAGGTTAACAGAATCCTTAGCAATGGCACCTGCTTCAGCAGTATCCGGCCTTTACTTCTCCAATTTGAAGTCCAGATATTTTGCTGTGGGGAAAATTTCCAAGGATCAGGTAAGTTAGCTGTTTCATTATATATGACTTCCCTAGATGCCTGTCTTGTTTTATTTATTTATTTATTTTTTGTAAGGGAGATCAGCCCTGAGCTAATATCCATGCTAATCCTCCTCTTTTTGCTGAGGAAGACCGGCTCTGAGCTAACATCTATTGCCAATCCTCCTCCTTTTTTCTTCCCCAAAGCCCCAGTAGATAGTTGTGTGTCATAGGTGCACATCCTTCTAGTTGCTGTATGTGGGACGTGGCCTCAGCATGGCCGGAGAAGCGGTGCGTCGGTGCACACCCAGGATCCAAACCCGGGCCACCAGTAGTGGAGCGCGAGCACTTAACCGCTAAGCCACCGGGCTGGCCCGCCTGTCTTGTTTTAAATGGAACTCTAGAACCTATTTTATTTTACACATGAATGACAATAAAATGAGAGGGAAAGGATGAAGAAATTTACGTCAATGTCGTAATTTGATTTCAACCTATTACTCCAATTCTAGTCCTCCTGTTTACACACAGACCCCCCTTACATACCCCCACCCCCCAGTCCAGCTTCTAAGCATCAGATGTTTACTACATGTAGTGTTTCTGCCCAGAGAATAAGGAGCTTGGTGAATAGATAAGCATCTATCTCTGTGTAACTCAGTAGATTGCTATTAAGACAAGAAGTGGAAGGTACTTAATGTTTTTTGGCAAATCCTGTGGAAACTTCAATTCAAAGAGCCTTATCATTTTAGTTTAATAAGTGCTTTTAATCTTTTGCAGATTGAGGATTATGCTTCGAGGAAGAACATGTCCGTGGCTGAGGTTGAGAAATGGCTTGGACCCATTTTGGGATATGATACAGACTAACTTCTTTTTTTCACCTTGGCTGTACTTGGAGATCTTCAAGGAAGTACAGTCCAGAGTGCCTTAAACGACAACTGCAGCAGCAGCATGCCCATCGGCATCTGGCTGACATTTGCCTGCTCCAGGTGTGGGAGGTTTGGTGGAACCTTATAAAGGAGCAGGGTCTTCCTATGGCCCTTGGAAAACAAGTGACAGTTTTCAGGGAACCTTGAATGAAGAGCAGTGAGCAGGATGCTGGTGGTGTCCCTGGTCCCTTTGGGACTGGGACAAGCTGGAGATAGAGGTCTTTTGCATTTCAAAGCAAGTCAACTTGCTTTTTTCACTTTTACCTTGGATCTAGGCCACTTATTCTTTTTTTTTTTTTTCCTCTCTCTTAGAAAAAAGTCTGAAACTCAGTTGAATAGAGAAATGTATAGAGAAATGTGACCCTGTGGCAAAATGATGCTGTGAGAAATGGGGCATTTTAGTCTTAATGGTTACAACAGTAGACTCTGACAGGGCAGAAAGGATAACTCTGCTCTCTTTCCGGAAGACCTCATTTTCTAAAGGCACGAGTAAAGGGGTGCAGAAGTCCCTTTGGCAGAAGGCACACTCTCAGTGCTGGCTTGTCAGGAATACTCAGGCTGTCGGCTCTGTGTGGTCGCATACAGTAATGTTCTCCAAGCATTTTTGTCCTCTCATAATTTCATAGCCCCTAGCCCTAAGGAAAACAAGGAGATGGGGAGAGAGTGTGACTGTTCAGGGTCATTAACATCTTATAGTTGTTTTCCAGAATTGAGCAGGTTCTCGGCTGAGCCGTGGTGTCCTGTGCAGATTTGGACAGGTGGACAGCATAATTCCACTCAGTTCTTTCTTTTCTGCACTCACCCAAGTCGAGCCTCATACAGTTTAGGAATAGCACATTGACTTGTTCTCAGTTATTTCAGGGGAAATGGTAAGAACATGGGCACTGAAGTCAGACATACCTGGACTCTAATTTCAGCTGTGCCACTTACTTACTGTATGACATAGGCAAATTACTGAAGCTCTCCAACACTATTTTCTCATGTGTAAAATGGGGACAGTAATACTAGTTCCTATCTCATGGGCACGAGGTGTGGGTTGAACGAGATGATGCACATAAGGCAGGTAACAGGGATCTGGCATACAGTAAGTGCTTAGTGAACGGTAGCTTCTATAGAGGTAGCTCATCAAGGTCAGCACATAGTAGGTACTCATGGAAAGGGAATAATAAGATTAATGGAGGTGAAAAGCTATGTGGGAAATGCATATGGTAGTGACTGCATTATGTTAGGTACCCTTCCTGGGATTAGACCCCATTTAACACTGTGACTGGGAAAGAGAAACTGCCTCCTGTGTCACATGTGCCATCAGTACTCATTTTCTGAGTGACTGCCCCCTCCATCACCTCTCGTTATATAAGCTAGCCTTGCCCCCAAAGCAGTTATATCAAATGTACATGCAGGTACATTGGAGGTGAAAGGGAAAAAAGAGTTAGGAAATAACAATCCTACCTATCTGCAGTATATACATGTTTATTTGCAGAGTAATATACCTTCTCAGGCATCGCTTGTCCTTAACTTGAAGAGAACTCTCTGCTTTCTTTAGATGCATTTAGTTTGTGCTACATTGAGAATGGGACTCAGTTTCCTGAGACACTTAGTTGGAAGATTTATTTTCTGTGTTCCATAGCAGGTATGTTATTCTAGGTGGTGTTACATTCTTCCATGAGAAAGAATAACCTCCTTTAAATATTTTAATATATTTTCTCTGAATTACAGTTGCTAAGAGTCTCCTGATTTCATTAAATATTTACCATCTCTTCTCTCAGCTGTTTGTATGATGCAACGGCTTCCTTAAGTGTATTGTTGATCTAATCTCATGATGGATGGATGCCTTTTTCTAAAGACAAAAACAGTTCATACAAATTTGAGTGCCTATACGTTCATTAAAGAATATAAAATATAACTTGAAAACCCCTTCAGGTGACTTCAGAGGCAGGTAGGTGACCATTCTGAACCTGAGGTCTGTACTGTCGGTGCCTGTACATCCAGAACCTCTCCTTGTCATCAATATCTGTGGCCCTGACATTAACTCACTCACTCTTAAATTTCCATCAAAGATCCCATATTTATTTTTGCTTCTAAAGAAGTGCTTGTTCGAAATGTTTCCCACTCTGCTGCTTGCTCTGCTCTCTGTACTGAGGATGCCGGTTTGTGAGATGATGGTTGCGATCAGGTTTTATAATACCCTATTTCTCCTTTGAGACATTCTGCCATCGGCTTCCCTCTGTTCACAACCAAACTCATTTAGAGAATAGTCTGCTTTCTCTCTGTTTCTCTCAGGCATGCTCTCAACAAATATTTGAGTGTCTGCCATGTGCCAACTACTTTCTCCTCCCTTTCTCTTCTTAACTCAGTGAAGTTAGGGCTTTTTATCCATCTGTTCTGTCATTAATGACTTCCTAATTGTTAGATCCAATGGCCTTTCCAGTGATTTTTCTTCTCAATAGGTTTGACAATTTTGACCACTTCTTCAAAACTCTTCTTTCCCTGGTTCCCCGTTGACATCATTCTTCTGGTTAATCTTCTATGTTTCTGATAGTTTCTCTAACATTTTCATAGTTTTCTCTTCCTCTGCCCATTTAAATCTTGGTGTCCTCAAGGGCCAGTCATCAGTTATCTTCTTAGTCTGGATAGTTTCAGTGGGCAATCTCATCAAGTCAGTATCTCCAGGTATCTCTGTCCAAACTCCTCTGTCCTGAAGAGCATAGCATACTACATCTAACAGCCTCTTCCAGGAGGACATACAGACACCTCAGACCCAGTGTATCCCAAACTATTCTCCTCTTATTCTTCTCAAAATCTTGATATATTCAGTAATGAAGAATGGTGCCACCACTCAAGCTGACAAACCTCAAACTCGTATCATCTTTATCTTGGACTATTACAGTGATCTAAAAAAATTGCATATAAAAGACACACTTATCCTACTTTAGTTGGGATGGTGTCAAAAGGTTTAGGGAAAGCAATGTTTAGGTTGAGGCCTGATTTGGGACTTGAAGGATGAAGATGAAGAAGCAAAGTAGGAACAAACGAAGAGCTATCTTTGTTCATGAATAGGAATATTAAAGGTTGTAAAGGTATCAGATCTCCCCAAGTTGATCTATAGATTCAATGCCATTTCTAACAAATTCCAAAAGAGGTTTAGTTGAACGTGACAAGCAGATATTTAAATTTATAAGAAATAGTGAAGGACTAAGAATGGCTGAATGCTTCCAAATATGAAGAAGAGGCTGAGGGGACTTATCTTACAAGCTGGTAAGTTTTATTGTAGAACTTGTGTTGTATGTGATGCAAAGATAGGTATTCTGAGTAGTGCAATGAGATAAGGAGCCTGGAAAATAACCCGTGTATATGTTGACCTTTGAGATATGACAGAGGTGGCATGGTGTATCAGTGGGGATGAGAAGGATGACTCCATAAGTGGTGCTAGAACCATGGTTACCATATGGAAAAAATGAAATTTGGTTTCTGCCTCACACCTTACCTAACAATCAATTCCAAAGATATTATGGTCTTCAATGCAAAAAGCAAATACTTAAATATTTGCATGAAAAAAACCTTAGGGCAGGAAAGCATCTCTTGAAACACAAAGCACTAACCATAAAAGAAAAGATGATTAAATTAACTATATTAAAACTAAGGACTTATGTTAAGCTAATAAACAGTTTAAAGTAGTGAAAAGACAAGCCATGATGTGAGATATTTACAATACAATTAACTGAGAAAGGATTAGTAAGCAGAATGTATAGAGAATTCCTGTTTTTAAAAATATTCAATAGAAAAATAGAAAAGGCATTTCACACAAGAGGAAATACATGGGGCTTATAAATAAATAGAGAAATGTTCCACAGCACTGGAGGTCGGGGAAATATGAATTAAGACCACAATGAGATTCCATTTTACATCCATTAGATTTGCAAAAATTAAGGAGTCTGATAGTTCTGGATGCTAAAGAGGATCTATGAGAACTTGTACATTGTGTGGTGTGTAAACTGGCACCTCAGCTCTAGAAAACAATTATACCTCACTAAGTTGAACATTTGCACACCTTAGGATCTAGTTTAGGATTCCAACTTCCAGTTGTATATCCTGTAAACTCTTGCACATGTGTATCTGGAAGTATGTACAGGAATATTCATAGTAACATCTTCGTGATAGTTAATAACTGGAAAAACTGAAATGTCTGTCTATAGGAGAATGAATAAGTAAATTAAGGTATATTCACACTAGGGGATATTATTCAGTAGTGAAAATAAATGAACTACAGCTATACCTGACAATGAGAATGAATCTCAGAAAATATTAAGAAAAAAAAGTTCCAGGAGACCATATATGGTATGGGTCTATTTTTCTTGAGCCCAGAAACAAGCAAAACCAAACAATATATTGTCTGCATACGTAAATGGTAAAACTATATTGTAAAAAGAAAAAAAAGTAACAACAATAAACCAAAATTTAGCCTAGTAATTACCCCTGAGAGGAGGAAGCAGAGGGAGCAGATAGCAGAGAGACCCTCAGATAGATGCAAGTTATTACTAACGTTCTAGTTCTTGGGTTGTATGTTGGTTTATGGTTGTTTATTATATTATGCTTTATAACTAATATTTAACATAGAGTTTTGTATATATTAAATATGTTGTACTTAATGTATCAAATATATTATAAAACTAATAAAGGCAAAATGGAATAATAAGCAAAAATCTGGGATGGTGACTTTGTATATAATGTTTTATATGTGTCAAATATATTTTTAAAGAAAGGAAGGGCATTTTGGCCAGAGTGAACAGCAGTGCAAAGGCAGGGGGCAGAGAGCCGTGCATTTGTGCGCCGTCCAGCAGTGCTGCAGGGCTAGAGCTGTGCATGGCTCCCAGGTATCGGGCTTTGATGAATGAATGGGTGGCGGCTCCGTTTGCTAAGGCGGAGAATGTAGGAGGGGAGAAGAGATGAGTTTTGAACAAATTTGACATGACTGAATATGGGCAGTTGGATACCTGACTTTGGAATTTAGGAGGAATGGCGTTAGAATTGGAAGACTTCCCAGCCTTGGAGATGGAGGTCAGGCCATAGGTGCAGATGGGATCACCTACGAAGAATATGAAGAGAAAGGAATAGAGAGGGAACTTCATTATAGGAATAGGGAATGGGAGGAGTAGGAGCCGTTGGAGGAGCACTGTGTGGGGTAAAGGACACCAGGCGAGAGAGGGCAACATCAGGGAAAGCAAAGGAAGAGAGTTTCAAGGCCTGGCCAGTGGAGCCCAGTGTTGCAGAAAGGTCTGGGAATGGGGCTGCAGAGGGCCTTTCTCCCCGGGGATCCTCGCTAGGGCAGTTTCAGGAGATTGTGGGGACTACTGCAGACTGTGGTAGGTTGAAGATTGAATGGGTGGTGAGGAAGATTTGTTGGTTATTTTAAGAAGATGGGAGGGGAAGGTAGAATTGAGAATGTTTATTTTAAGATAGAAAAAGGCTTTTGTGCTGAGTGGAAAGTACCAGTTAAGAGGGTTGCAGACAGTGCAAATTAAAAAAAAAATCTCTTTTAACCTAACTTCCAGAGCGACTGGACTTCCATCTAACAATCACCAACATTTTAAGCCTGGGAGTTGTCCCTAACTCTCCCGTTTCCTCAAACTTCACATCCAATTAGTTCTCACACCCTGATGATTTTACCCCCTAAATATCTCTTCAGTCCATCTCTTCTACCCTGGTTTAGGTTCTCATCATTTCTCCTCTGGACACAGTCTGCTGGGTGGTTTCCCGGCCTCCTACAGCTGTTAGCATGAGCTCTCTGATCCTTTAGC